ACAACGAAAAGTTGCGAAAAAAAGTGGCGAGCATCTTTGGGAACGGGCTACTACCGGTATACCGGGCACCTTCAGCTTGAGTTCCTATAGCACAAATGCTTCGAATTTGGGGGTTTTGAACTTTTTTCCGTATGAGGAAGTGCTTATTTTTCACTGCCAACCTATGTAATCCACACATTTTTATCAATGGGTTCCTTTTGTATCCTGAACATGTGCAATACGTTCCAAATAAACTTCTTCAAAAATGATATGATACATGGTAGATGAGTTATCCTGAGATACGGGCAGTGCCCGGTCCCAAGGTGCCCGGATAAGAGACGTCTGAGTGTAACCTGCTTTCGGTTTGGATGCCAGCTTCAGCTCCAGCTGGCACCCTTTGTCACTACGCACCATCATCCACCCGTTTTTTGACTAAGGTCGTGGATTGACTTCTCAACTCATGCATTGATATCCTTTTTCGCTCTTGAATTGTGCAGTTGTTGCATGCATTGTGGCCTGTATCCTGCCCACATGTTCATGTCTGGTCTAAGTACCAAGTGTACATGTACCCCGTCCCATCCCAGCGTAATTCTTATTTTTTTCAGCCACCACCACACCACAACCACAACTGCGCGCTCCCGCCGACACAACCTTGCCACAGCACACCACCACCAGTTGATGACTAAGCTGCACAGGGCCGCTGAATGCTGCTAGCTGCTTACCAATTTATCTGCGAATTCTTTTTTTGTTTGAAACTCGGATGTTGAGCCATAAATAAATGTGGAAGAGAAAAGGACATATGGATACTTGTACAATTCGTTTTCGCAAAGCTTCCCTTTCTTTACTTATCTTTGATATTTATGACCCACCCAAGTTGGGTGGTGTGCTGCTTTGCTGCTTCGAATTGTAGTTAGACCGCTGTGTCAAATATCGTACTGGTCTCGTCATCGTCCAGTAACAATCGACATTCTTTGTTCCGTTGGGACTGTAGCTTTTGCTCGTTTTCGTTGCGCTTGCCTTCCCCTCTTTGGTCTTTTCCATAACCTTGAACCTTCCAAGTTGGAAGGCTGTCGGTTAGCGCTACGGAGATGTGTTGAAGCTAGGTGTCAGGACGTCGAATGTTTCAGTACTCTGTCAGTTTTGTGCCTAGTTATTGCACTTTCTGACTGTATATAGTATCATGTTACAGTGATGGAGAGTTACTCTTAACTCGTATCCATATGTCTTTTTTTGTTCATTTTAATTTTAATATCGCAACAAGGAGGAGAAGCTGAAGGGACATTGGATTACTCTATTCGCCAGAAAGAATATTCAAATGCAGGCAGTACCATTCAAACATTCAAATGCAGGCAGTACAATTCGAATGCTCAATTACTCGAAAATTCGTGATAAGGTGATATTATGCAGTATGCTGTATTATGCAGTATGCTGTATTATGCAACTCCAACCATGATCTTCTAAGTAGTGTTGAGGAGGAGAGGAGAAATTATGTACTGAGAGCTGTGAAGCTTGTTCTTTGCCTTCGGTCAAATTTGCTCTTTCATCGGTGGATATGTACAATGTGCATGTACATGTACATGTACATGTACATGTGACTATCCACGTGGCACGTCAGTCGACAACATGACTGTTGGGTCTGATTGAGTAAAGTGACTGAGCCACATCAGAAGAATATAGCCTGTTTATTCTTTGTCTTAGGGCTCTCCCCCCCCCCCCCCCACCCCCCACCCCCACCCCCCCCCCCCACCCCTGTTTGCACGTGAAGTGTGTGGGTTACCATGGTTACAGTGAGGGCTGCGTCCCATCCCACCCATATGTGTGGATTCACAGGAAGCGTGTCGAAGTCTGAAGAAAATGTTGAATGTTTGCTGCTTGGATGACGACTACTAGACTGTAAACCAGAGGCAAGGAGTCCCAGGGTGTCATGGTGGTGACAGTCATTTCTTTCTTCAGACAATTCCCATTTTCTTCTGTACCTTTCCCTCAATTATCAAACCAATGAAAAGTCATACTTCGAAGTACATGTACATGTACATGTACATCAGGCGCGTGCGCCGGTGCCCTTCAAGGGGGGTTTCCGGGGGACCTCCCCCCGGGAAAATTTTCAAAAAATGAAGCAAAATCCTGCATTTTGAGCGAAAAAATGGGGGTTCCGGGCACCCAGGAACCCATACGGGGCACGCACCTGTACATGTACATGTACATGTATACCGTACTCGCGCGATTGGAGCCCTCTCTTGAATAGTGCCCTAGTCTCCAAGAGCCAGCGAAAAATAAAGCCCTCTCTTGTATACCGTACTCGCGCGATTGGAGCCCTCTCTTGAATAGTGCCCTAGTCTCCAAGAGCCAGCGAAAAATAAAGCCCTCTCTTGAATAGTGCCCCCCTGGTCTAGTAACCAAGCCCATGTGCAAGTTTGGTGTTCTTTTGCCAATGTTCTCGGCCATTGCTTTGCCCTGGTGTTTTCAGGAACAAAATCGCAGGTCTTGTCCCCGCTTCTGTGGAGTCGTGAGCGTTTACAGTACACTTTAGGCTCTGTTTTTCTTTGTTTTATGCTGGATGACGCAAATGTACCAGCAATGAAAAAATAGTGCCCTCTCTTGAATACTGCCCCATCTGTGATGGACATTGAAAAAATAGTGCCCCAGGGGCACTAATCGCGCGAGTACGGTATGTACATGTATACATGACTGCTAGTACATGTACCGGTAGCACTACAATCATAATGATTACTGTAAAGCGATAAATTTTGGCGGCGCGCAAAGTTTGCGTTTTCATGATTGGGCTGGTTAACGATGAGAAACTTTTTTTGGCGATTTTACATGACTGTATCTCTTCATTTGGATCCTTTACTGTCTACAATCAATGATTATGTACAGAGCAGTTTGCGACGATTTATATGCGAATGTGTGATGGTCGCGAAAATAGCGAAATTTAATCTCTAGCGAAAGTTTAGTACTATCTTTAGCTTTGTGCCAATTGTGGGCATTTTTTAGGCTCACAAGCTGCCTCTGCTCCGAGCTCTACTCTGAGTCTGACTCTGAGAGTGAGACCTCAATCACCTCATGAGGCTGAGCTCAGTGACTGTCACTGACTCACTCACTTACTGTGACTTAGTCATACATGTACATGACTAAGTCTTGTACTTCATTTGCAGCATAACAATGTTATGCATGATAAACTGCCATACATCGTCATGTTACTGTAAGTGTCAAGCCTCACACAGACTCAGTCAGTGCATGCAGTGAGGCATATGCTGCATTATGCATGCAGTGAGGCATTGCATGCAGTGACCTGGTACATGGTGACTGTGTGAGGCATATCCATAATGCATGCAGTGAGGCATATGCATGCGCGCACGTGAAGCGTGGGAGGTGGAATTAGCCTCGGGCACGACCATGCAAGGTGTGTACGAAAAACTAGGTTCTCCGGGGTTTCGAATTTTAGGCTAGTGTACTATTACTATTAGTTCTACTATTATTAGTAATTCTCCCGCTGAAGTCCACGCGGGCGTACATATGCGTAGACAGAACGTCAGAAGTACTGTCAGTGATACTAGTGAAGTGCGCTAGGCGCTGGCATGGCAGTGAAGCTGAAGGAGATAAAAGACCCACACAGAGACAGGGTGACCAAAGCCTCTTGCCAGTCTTGGACTTGGAGTGCAACTACTTGCAGCGGACGTGGCAGGCAGCACAAACGATTACGTCTCAACATTTTTTCTTGACTGTACTGGCGCATGGCTCTCGATCTCAGGCGATCTACGCATTAATTTTTTCTGACAAGACTGTTGTCGACGCATATCCGTGCTCTCTAGTAGTAGTAGTAGTACTTGTACTGCACTGTCATGTAGTGGCCCATGGCTACCTAATTTTGTATGTCAGAAATACATACCTCTTGAAGTTTTAGTTAGTTTGCCGTCTCTCTCAGTCTTGCTTCCCAGTAGTGGCAGTACTAGTGTTAGCTAAGGCAGCAAGCGGTAAGGGGAAGAAGTAGTTCGTGGGTTGAGTTGAACACAGAGGAGGTGAAAGCCCTGTTTACTTTGAGACACAGACAGTGTTGAATCATGCCCTACGCATCAAAAATATTTCTGATACGGTGACCGACCGATATCGATCGCATCCAGATAAAAATTATATGAAAAAGTCATTCGAAAAAGTCATTTGTAGCGCTGTTGACACCAGTTGGTAGCATTATCGTTAGGTTTTCCTTGCTGTGGAACGTCGTTAGGGTGGTCTGCGACGAAAGGAGGAACGATGGCGGAGGAACGAGGCGCTTCTCCGCCAGCGGAGAACACAGTCGTCTTGAACGGTTCGTGTAATCGTTGCCTGACGTGTTGTTTAGCCTTCTTCTCCTTCTTCTTGATTGAATCGACACGAATGTTATCGCTGCCTCCCGTGTTTTATTTCTATTCGTACTTTACAGGCATACAGCGTGCTCTTCCCGGTTTGGACTCATTCCTTCGGGATAAATTACCCAGAGAACACCTGACTCCAGAGGTTGAAGCACAGTTGGTACATTTCATCCAGCTATTGGACCAGCTCGAGGGCGACATTTCCACGGCTAGAGAGACTGCAAGAGAGGAAACCGCTACACGGCACATTGGATCAGGTGAGTGTGTCTTCCTGCGCTTCTCTTCTACTTATACCTGTGCGAGAGTAGGTATTCCACATGTGTCGGCGCTTTTCCTACCGTTCAATCTGAGGCCCGCGAACCCTTGTTCAAGCTGGTGACCGGACGTTGAATTTGTTCTTCCTGTTCCTGCGCATGTAAACATGCCGCTTTTCCACGCTACGCGCTGGTGCTTGTGTTGTGTCAGAGACTGAGAGTCCGCGTCAGTAGTGTGTGATCTGCGCCGTGTAGTTGTGTCACGCTTTTTTGTCGTAACGGACGTTGGCCGTTGATTAGGTTGCGTTCTCGAGTCGAGCACGATGTCTATCTGTTTATTTTTACCACTGCTGTTCAGCTCGTTCTGGGCGCTAGGGCTAGGTTGAATTGCCTGGCAAGAAGCCATGTGATGTGCGATAAGGCTGCAGAATAGTTGTGTGTCTGACTTGTATGGTGTTCCTGGCCTAGCGGCGAGCATGGATGGAACTGTTGATCGCATAGCCGGCTGGCCTCGTGTTGGCGATGGGGTGATGATTAGTACTCGTAACAGCGTAGCCTCCATCTTATGGAACGGAGATTGTCCTTGTGGCGAGGAGCCAGGCAGACATCGAGAGAGAGAGAGAGAGAGAGAGAGAGATCGGTGTGGAGTGTTCATGGCCCGTGCGATAGGCTGCTATCCAGTGGAAACCAAGCTGATCCCAACAAGTCATTGTTTGTGCAATCCCGAGAGAATTATGGAGTACTACTAGTTGCTTCAACTAACGTCCTTCCTTCGACTTCGTGCAAACTGCAATTATTTCGTCAGTAGAACATGCAGTGTACTAGTTTCAGGAACACTTCTGGCTGTTCGGCTTTGGTATGCAACGCAGGGGCCTGTTAGGACAGATGATTGTTTCATGACAAGTCTACTGCTGAAATTTTTCTGCGTTATCAATCGCTGCACCTTGGCCCGTAGTGTGTGACCGTTGTGTCAAGACAGTTCTCAATCATGTATGCTAGTGTTTCAAAGAATCGGACCACTCCAGCCAGTCAATGTAATAATTTAAATAATTATGTCCATGGCATGTGTGTGTGTTTGATGCTCACCTCTCTAAAATTAGCATTGTTCTGCTTCTCCTGGGCCCAGTGCATTGTTTGAGACAGCAATAAAGTGATCAAAGTGATGATATCACTACTCCTGCTTTGCGACCACTAACTTACTAAATACACCACTAACTTACTACTAGTACTACTGGTATCCACATTCTTTCATGGTTTGAAAATACATTGGGCAGCGTGATCAAAGAAGCAATGAAGGTGTTGTTATTCTCTGTCTGTTCATTGTCTTTATGTGGGTTTGAATACAGTGAGCTCTGACCAGGATGAAGAGAACATAGCCTTCAGTGGCTTCCTTGTGCAGGGAACACGTCACTTGAGCAACATACTGGCCTGGAATCGCCGCTGGTGTGTGCTGGGAGCCGACGACAACATCCTCCGTGCGTATAGCATGCGATCGCGGAACGTACAGAAACCACTGTGGGAGCTGGAGTTGGAGCATTGTAGAATTTCACTCGTTGATCCCCGTGACTCCGGTGAGAAAACGAGCGCATTTCGCATCACACCACCCATCGACACTGGTCTGCAGCCATATCTGTTGCGTACGTATGAGGAGAGTGAGATGCATCGCTGCGTTGATGCCCTGGCTAAAGCTACTGGACAGCCGCATACGAATAGTGAGCTGAGAACACTCCTCACCGTCTCCAATGCCCCCGGGGCTCGGGTGTTGAGTGCCTCGCCGAACACCATGCGAGCAGCCAGCACTGCATCGCACCGCGCTGCAATTCTACCCTCCGGAGAGGAGATTGAAATTGACGACGGTGACGGATTGTATGATATCCCACCTACTGCACGGCAAGCCGGTGCTGCAGTGCCAATGGATGCTACTTATGATGTACCACCGCCGCGTTCAGGTGCAGGGCCGTCTAGGTCAACAAGTGACTTTGACTTTCCTACGGACGAGCAGCTGGCCAGTCCTGAACCCAATGATGATGTCCAGGAGGAAGAATGTGACATTGAGGACAACTATGCAGAATTGAACTTTGGCGAAGAAGGAAATCGTGGTAAATCTCCGAAAACGAATCCGAGGGAATCTAATGCTTCTTCCACGGCACCCGAACTTCCAACACGCACATCCAGGATGATGGTGACGAGTACCAGCGACCCATCTAGCGTAGGCCGTGCCAGTCAGACAATCAAGGCAGAGCAGGTGAATGCAGCGAAGGAAAGCTATGAAAAACAAGAGGAGGATCTCTATGCAAGCATGCCGGTAAGGACAGCCGGATGCAGCTTGGCCCACAAATAGCCAGATGCAGCTAGGTTCAAGGATAATCGGATACGGCTAGGTGTATTACGGATGGTCTGATGCAGTTAGGTATAACGATAGTCAGATACAGCTAAGTGTATTACGGATGGCCAGATACCGCTAGGTATAAGGATTTATTGCAACAAGACATTTGCAATGTGTAGCTGATGGGATTTCTGGAAACCCATGTAGCTGATGTCCATAGATGTTACGAGAAAGTAGTCGTAATGAGCAGCAGAATTCCGGACTGCTCACTGGCACTACGTATACAGAGTGAGTCGCTAATGCATCGCTGTGCCGCGACTTTTCCAAAGCAACTCAGCTGATGTTGTGATCGCGTAACCTCTATAAGTATAAGCACACAGATAAGATACTGATGTTGCTCCCTTGACTGCCGTATTGGCATTACCCATATTTTTATAGCTGCTTTCTTAGTTTAGGAATGATGACCTACCTGCCAACCTTTGCAAACCTGAGATCGGGACAATGACATACAGTACCTAGGTATGAAAATGTATACAAATGTAGCTGTGAAGCAAGCGACAAATGCACTTTTCCTATTACCACCCTGGATATCGGGACGGTCCCGGCCACAGTCGGGTTGGGTGGCAGGTGTGTGACCTGAAGTCAGCTACCGGTATACGACTTGCACGTCACTGAATGCAACTGCACAAAGTAAAGTATGACATTTCTTGTCCAAGATAGAAGGAGAGGAGTATGCACCAGTGCCATGAATAAACCATACAATATGGTCATGTGTTGTGTTTGTGTGAGAAGCAAGACTTGGAGCAAGACGATTTACAGTACTGTTGGGCACCGAAGAACGGCCAGGCTAGAATTTCACCAATTTTTGACAGCGGTGTAGGCTGGATTTTTTTGCAGAAAAGAACGGAAACGGTAATGTACACTATAGTGTTCACTCAGACATATAACTCTGCATAAGACTATACATGCAAGACTGAACCATTGAATAAGAATGAAACTAATGTGTTCGCTAAAAATAAGAGCGTGCTAGGCTAGAACCCTGACCCCCCCCCAGTTCTTCGGCGCCCGACAGTAGTGTATTCCAGTAGTGTATTCCAGTGTACTATCTCTATACAAGTAGCTGTATATTCCTCTTTTGCTGCTTTCCCTACTCGTGTGGTTAGGATGACATCTTGAATGATGTCCACCTGTCAGATAGCAACACTGATGACTGTGAAGGTATGTACGAGCAGCTTGACATCACTGGTTATGATTCAAGCACTTCCACAAGCTCCATCTTTGAGTTTTTCAAGAGGAACAGCAAGGAAAGGAAGAGTGGCAACCAGAAGAAGAGCAAAAGCAAGGAGAAAAAGGAGAAGAAGGACCACCGGCTCCGTCTTAGCTGCAGTGTTGCAGACCTGGTTGACCCGGATCAAGATGGATACCTTGTGAAGCGTACAGGCAAGGGTATTACATGGCGACGACGTTGGTTTGTGCTCAAAGACAGGGCCCTCTATTACTTCCGGTGAGTTTAGACACCTGAAGTACTTGTACTACTTGATAGCTGCAATGCCTGCATGTGCGTATCTGCGTGCCCAGCTACTGAATACGTGCCATTATTCTCCACAGAGCTGGTCTCGAGGAAGCACATTACCATTGTGGTAGGCAGAATTGTGAGCCACACCTTTAATTAACCAAATATGGATGGTAGTGCTGGACTCGCATGGAATGTGCTATGTCTACGTCTAATGTGCTAAATAGACCCTAGATACAGTCGACTCCACTTGTAACGAACTTGCATTATAGAGAATTTCATGATATAACCAACCATTGTCCATGTCCCTGTTTGAGCCCATACAAAATTGACCTTCTATAGCGAACAATTTTTGTTTATATAAAGGAACCAAAATCTTGTAGGGCTGCATGTAAACCAAGTGCAGTTATACTGTTATGGGGCACACGTCAGTCATGACTTGCTACTTGTATAGTGTCAGTGTATTTCTGTTATAAAGAACTTTGGCTATAAAGAACTACTTGGTCCGGCTCATCGCAATTGTCGCTTATCTCCCACGCACTTTTTGACACGTAAAACCCAGTCCAATCACGATATCTAACTTACTTTTGCTTGGGAGGTTGTGATGGCAAGATCAAATGAAGCACCAAAGAAAAATGGTCGCGACTAGCGCTTTGAATCGCGATGTGTTCGACTTTTTGGGAAGTGGAAATCTGGCCATTCACTGTCTGTGTTGCCGAAAGCCAAGCGCAGCGATCCGAAGACCGGAACTGTAGGCTGGGGCAACTGACATCCTGGAGAGCGTGACAGGCACGCGTGCACGGCAGAGTAGTATGAGCGTCATGCTGAAGAAGAAAGGTGTTTTCGATGCACGCATGGCAGGGACGTTTTGGTTGTTCCTTTTGTTCCTTCGTGGACCTGGCAGCAGCATTACAAGAGCCGTGGTCAGCGTATCCAGCGAGCGTATGACAGCTGTCTGGAGAGGCCTGTATGCCTCATTCGAAGGCTCTGTTGAAACACACTGTGGTCACACACAGGTCACACTGCCCATGGTTCCTTCGAGCACCCGAAGTGAAAGACACAACTGTTCCTTTCCCATTGCTGCAATACGACAGGCTGACAAAGCAAGAGATGCTCTACCAATCTACGCCAGCAGCTAGACACCATCAATTTAGTGTCAGCTCATGTAATGGCCAGCTCGAGTGATGGAGAGTTGAATATACTCTGGACCTGTAAGAGTGTGAGTGCAAGAACGCGCTCCTTCGCTGATTTATTTCGTGCATTTTGCTTACCTTGCTTCCCTTCTATGACTCGCTTCACTTGATTCCATGGCTGAATTTTTTTTCTTGTGGCGGAGAGTATTCATGTATCATGCTTCCTCACTATGCCTATTGAAAATTTCACAGAGCGCCAACAAAACTCCTGTTCTTAGTGGCGATAGATAAGCGACAATTGCGATGAGCCGGACCAAGTAATTCTCCTGCACAGCAGTGGTGTTTGTTATATCAGGAGTCGACTGTATGTGCATACCTATAGCAAGGCTGCCTTATGTTTCCTTGGAACATTATCTTATTCTCTGTACAATAAATGTACATTGTGAAGAAGAGGTTGGTGCGACTTCAGCGAACACACAATTCCCGATAAATGTATAGTGTATACAATACTGCATACAATACTATGTTCCTTTACAATGCTGTCGTCACCAACACAGGTCTCAGGATGATGACGTGGCACGAAACGCAATTATCCTACCTGGATGGAAGCTGAGCGCTGTCAGTGATGAGGCCAGGCGACCATTCACATTCAAGCTTTCACATGACGGAATGAGCGACTGCTTCCTCTCCGCCGAGACAAGTGATAGCTATGATACATGGATTGCTGTAAGTCAATGTGTGAATAATCTTGTGTTATACACTATATGCAGTAACAGTTAGGGTTAGGGGTGCACTCATAAAACACATGTCACATACACCAGGGAGGGAGGGGAGGGGGGGGGGGGGGTAAAGAAGTCACTAAAGAATTAGAGCACTCAAACTCGTCATATCCGCTCCACACATGGGACTTACCGGTAACCCATACCGGCATGTGCTAGAGTACATTGACACATAATAACATGTACGCATGTGCTAGAGTACATTGACACATAATAACATGTACGCATGTGCTAGAGTACATTGACACATAATAACATGTACGCATGTGCTAGAGTACATTGACACATAATAACATGTACGCATGTGCTAGAGTACATTGACACATAATAACATGTACGCATGTGCTAGAGTACATTCCGACACATAATAACATGTACGCATGTGCTAGAGTACATTGACACATAATAACATGTACGCATGTGCTAGAGTACATTGACACATAATAACATGTACGCATGTGCTAGAGTACATTGACACATAATAACATGTACGCATGTGCTAGAGTACATTGACACATAATAACATGTACGCATGTGCTAGAGTACATTGACACATAATAACATGTACGCATGTGCTAGAGTACATTGACACATAATAACATGTACGCATGTGCTAGAGTACATTGACACATAATAACATGTACGCATGTGCTCAGGCATACCGTAGTTCCGCGCATATAAGCCCATGGGCCTATATCCGGATATAGGCCCACCTCCGTTTATAGGCCCATGGGCTAATAAACAGACCCAAACACCGTAATACAGCATGTCAGTGCAGACTACATTACCAGTACCGGTACCTACAGTAGGCGGACAACGGCGCACGGACTTGTACTTTTCGCGTGCCAGCTGCCTTCAAAATTCAAATTTAGGCCCAGGGCTAAAAAACGAACCATTATTACTGATTTTTTTTCCCGTAAAATGCATTATTTCGTATATTAGCCCATGGGCTTATATGCGCGGAACTACGGTATTCGTGATGGTGGGAACACAGAACATGTCTCTATGCACACCAAGGCACATAACACAGAGACTGTACGGTCAGTGGACTGGGACGTGTCCGGATCGGGAGAGTCCGGATAACGGAAGTTCAGGTCCACTGGTATTCCTATGAACTTGTCAAGCCATGCACATTGACATTCCCAGCCCTACGCTCAGGACATTGCATGTGCACTATCCCATACAGGTGAGTAAAGTATGTCTGGTGTATCCGGTTCATACGTATATTATTATTATTAGCGTAGTTGTGCCATTTGATATTATGTAGAAAGCTTGCCCTGCGACAGCATCCGAGATTGTGCTCTTGCTACATGGTCATATGCTAATCATCACCTATTTACACATAATATATTCTGGTATTGTAAACCTTGCAATGACAACCCTCGATCAGGTATGAGAAAAGTGTTGTTATTCGTGACTTGTCATCATTCGCGATGCCAAGTCGAGTTGTTACCATGACATCAGGCTTTTATTCGTGATATTGACTGTAATTTGCGTTTCTATGTTTACCTACAGTTATTGGAACATTGCCTGCGTATACCGAATGGCAATGACTCTACCCCGTACGGTATCAACACAACGCCACAGCCCCTAACCAAGGATGCAGTGGAAGCTGAGAACCTGATGAAAGCTATTGGTGACCTGTCAGCACCCCAAGTAAGGCCTTTGAATGGGGCGGAATGAATGTTCATCATAATAACTTTCTATTTTCTAAGATTTACGTTCATCCACACTGCAAAATAGTGCCAGTGCACTTCAAAGAGTTGTGTCATAATAGCAAGAGTACATAACCCCCAGGAGCGTGCAACTGCCCGCACAACCTCTATACATTGCTGCTATGGCAGAACTTCACATCACATGACACGGTTCAAAAGGTCACGCTCTTGGACAGTGCAAAGTGACCACAAGAGAGTTGAGCCCAAAGCAGGGTTGCGTACAACCCTGTATCTATCATGCACAGGGTGCAAATAATGCTGCCAACACCACAATGCGAATGCAATGTAAGAAATAGCAACGACGTAATGCCACTCGTCCAGGCTACCACCATACCAGCCATGGTGTATTCTATATGTTCAGACTATGGCTCTGTGCATGTACCTCATACATGCTGAGTTGTGCAGTTGTGCAGGCATGCTCTTCAGATAGGCTAGCCTGTGGTTTGTTATTACATGTTCATATTGTCTACAGCCCCCCCCCCCCCCCACACACACACACGCACACACACACTCGATGCCACTACCATCTGGTGTCGTTACCCCACAGTCTGATAGACATGCTGGCAGCAGGAAAGGCATAGTCCTCCATGATACCATTGCCCGCTGGTGGGCATGTTGACAGCAAGCAAGTCTCAGTCAATTTTTGCACATGTGCAGAAATCATACTGGATGTCTGTATACCACCTGTGCACGCAGGGATTTTTTATGAGATGCACAAAGCCAAATAGGTGAAGAAGTTAGTGGAGGGGGAGAGGAAGAGAAGAAAAGCACAAACAAGAACAGACTGTTGGTGAAATGGGGCTGCAGCTGGCAGCTGTGCTGATGACGTGTTGCTCCTTGCACTACTGGAGAAATGTTGGTGATAGCAGGGGTGGTGAATGTTGGTGATGACATGGTTAGTGATGACATAGCCAGCAATCGCATGTCATCACGTACATTCAAAATCAACATAATTTTGCGAATCGACCTTTTTTTCAGGATCACTTTTCAACGAGGACGAAGCAAAGTCGGCCGAACGAAGCCTAGAGGAAGAAAATCATCCTCTCCACTTCACCATCACGATACTGACATAGATACGAGATGAAACAACTAAAAAATCCACAAGAAAACTGTACGGCCATCATCGCGCTGACTTTGGTCTGACTTTGGTCTGACTTTGGTCTGAGAATTTCTATCACGATCAAAAATGTACGAGGAGCACTCAAAAATAAGCCACAGACGTACCTTTATCGCTCTCTACTCCTTTTTCAAGGCACAAAAGTCGACTCTCCACTTTCAAACCAGGAACTAGACATACCAGTGGTCCTTTTCAGCTGCTCCACGAGCGCAGGAAATGTTCACCAAGGGGCGCAGAGCAGCATCCATTCCAGAAAAAGAGCTAAAATACGAGTGAGACTGCATGCCTGAGTACATGAGTACATGTATGAGTACTTGCAGAAAATAGTCAATTTCAGCGTTTCTGCTCCAAACAGCAACTAGCTTCGACTAGAAACAAAGATTACACCAAAGGATCAAACAACAACCATTTTCTGCAGTTTTTTTGCAGATGGCTTCCTTGTGCTTGGCCCAGCACGCCAAAAATCACACCTCGGAGGAGTACAAAAATTACAACTCTCAGATGTCCTCGATTGCTGGCCATGGGATTGTCATAGCAAGCATCCCGGGGTCTTGGCCAGGGTTGGTATGGTGTCATGCACTGTCCTGCTAAAGTCTAAACCACCTGTGCTTCATCAGTATGTTGCACAGGTGGTCTCCAGACGGTCTCATTTCTCTCTGTGTACGGCTATGCATCAGTGCTCCAGCAAGCTCACAGGCACGATGCGACGGCACGTTTGGCCTTTGTGCTATTATTTGTACCGAGGTGGCTGGCAGTACCTGACTGGTATGATGATCACGGGTTGAGATACGCATTTCTCTTTGTTTTGTTTTTGCGCTGTGTCTTGGCCACTGGCAGTGGGGAGAAGACGATGTGGCTGCAACCTCCAACGGTTTACCTGCGCCAGGTAAGTGTATCCTGTGTGTGTGTGTGTGTGTGTGTGAGAGAGAGAGAGAGAGAGAGAGAGAGAGAGAGAGAGAGAGAGAGAGAGAGAGAGAGAGAGAGAGAGAGAGAGATAGGTGCTCTCATGACAGTGTGAGGCTGTCTGTGATGCGCAATGCAATTTAGCGGTGGTGGTTGTGGTGGAAGCAGCAGTGCATTTGTGATAATTTGTTTTGGCTCTTCCAATGCTGGTTGTAACCAAGAGCAGTGGCGGTAGTCTATACTCGACTGGGTCCTCAAGCACCATCTATGCATCCATATCAAGCAGAACATCACTCAAGCTAAAGAGATATGATCATGTCTATGGTATGTTGCTATCCGCATTCGTGCTGATTCTATTTCATGTTGGGAAATAGTCGCGCTTATGCCAGGGCCACAGCTAATTGTTCTATCAAAATGCTGTTCAGCCGTTACTGGCTGTGCTTTGGTCCCTCAGTCTTCACAATGATGGCAGATCTGGCAGCATGCATGTGCACGGCGATATAATTATTATCACCGTGAGAAATGCATCACAGGGCAATGCACTAATACTAAGAACAGTGCAATGCCCTGTAATTCGTTTCCCATACATTTTCCGTTTCGTATCACAATGATTCTTGCCTTTGGTTACCGAGTTGAATATTATGCAAGTCATCATCAGTTAAAAGATGTAAAATCATGTATTATGTAGCTAGCTGTTAGCAGATCTGGTTGTATTCCACCCGACTTATTTGTGGGTATGCATGTTGTGAGGTGGGGGAGGTAAATCTTCAATATTGAATGATTTTTCATGTGGTGCATGGTGTACCGATGTGTGTGTCTGTCTGTGCGTCTGGCCGTCTTTCTGTCTGTCTGTCCATCTTTCTGTCTATCGGTCTGTATGTTTGTATGTATAATGTATATGTGCATGTATGTGTGTACATGTGTGTATGTACGTGTGTGTATGTACGTGTGTGTCTGTGTGTGTAGATTCAGTGTATGATCACCCACGGCCAAATGCTGGCAGTCTTGCTAGCGAGGGCTTTCACTCGAGCAGTGGTCAGTCTGGACCTAGCTCACAGCTACAATCTCCATCAGCCGTATCTCAGTCCTCTGGTCTTCCACCGCCGATTCCCAATGGTCCTCGGCCATCTCCTCGACCAGCGGAGAAGGTATGACATAGATTAGTAGGGGCCACTGTATTTAGCCTCTAGACTTTTCTGTTATCGCTCGCTGTCTTTAGTATTGTTTACTAGGCATGTTCCACCCATAATGCATAGGCTGCTCAAGTCAGTGCTTCTATTCTATGGCAGTAGTACCATCAGACACTTCTGCAAAGTATAAGTATGTGATCATATTGCACGTATAAACATTTGATCACAGTTATCTGGAGAAATCATGACTTATACGGGAAGTTAAGCCTAAAATCAAATTTTCACCAGTTGTAGTCTTCGGGGTGCTGGGTCGAATGGTCTTGGTCCGAGGAAGCTGAGACGCTCCCATCCTCCTTTATTTCCAATTGAACTCACGCACTTCCACCGAAACTGGGTGACTGCGCCCTACTAGATGGGGATTTGTATGCAAAATGTCACTAAAACTGCCATATCGTTCTTATAAAAGCGCGGATGACCGTGATTGGCCCATATATTATAGTCTTTTGAACGCTGAGTCGACTGGTTTTGGTCCGAAAAGGCTGCGATGCAGCGTTCGGCCCTTATTCCCAATCGAACATGGTTGAACAAGCGGTCCCGTGCTCTGCGTACACCAGTCACCTGGTCACCGCGCCAGCAGGCGACAATTTTCACACCAAGGTTCAACTCAAAGGTTCAACTCGAGTGACAGAAACTCGCCCAAACATGCTGTAAGTTGTAGCCTGCAGGCACGGTGACCAGGTGACTTGTGTACGCACGAGCACGTGACCACTTGTTCAGCCATGTTCGATTGGGAAATAAGGGCAAACCGCTACAGTCAAATCTGTCGTAAGCGACCGCCCCTTGGTGCAAGAAAAAGCGGTCTCTTACGGCAGATGGTCGCTTACGGCAGATGTATGGTAAATCCGGCATACCGGGCATGCATATATGCTTCCATGTACTCAAATCGACGAGAATAATGTGATTTTTAATGGTGTACTAGCTGTGCTAGTACTTGTTAGCAACAATCCGAACTAGCGCACACACTGCACTGCATTGCTTTGTACTGCATTCAAGACTGACGTCATGCGCTTTGTTTTGCTGCGTAATCACAAATGGCACCAGCCCGTTTTTGCGGAAAAGAAAAACAAATCTTGCTTGCCCTGTTGTGCTCTTCCAGACAACGGATCGTGCTTCAGCAGTGTTTCTTTTCCTTTCGTAGCTTTGCTGCCAGCCCGAGTGTCACCTCGACACCGTATTTCTTCAGTATGTCTGACCTTACTGTCGACACTGTCAAGGCAATGCCTTGCCAAGCCCTCCGCGGCGAGCCTTCTCAGCGCGGCCTGAATCCGAAAGGAAACTTAGTAAAAGTATTTTACAGGACCGTTTGCTGGCACAACTAGCCCTTGGTAGTGAGGTCTGCTCCGGCCAGGAGAACCAGCAACATGACAGTGCGGACACGGCTCGCGAGCCCAGAAGCCCGACGTGCACCAATGCCTCCTCCGCCAGCTCAGGTGACGCGGGCTCAACGGATCTCTGCGCTCCCGTACGGGACGAGGTGTAGTCGGCTTTGTCGGCCGCCATTTTATTATTATCGGAGAGCATTGCGCCGCTCCTCACCCAAGGCCAAGGCAATGCGGCAGCTGCCGCCACTACGCCAGGCCAAGCTCCTGTAACTCACCCGATCAGCCACCTGCACCAGCTGTGCCCAAGGCTGTGCAAGAACGTATCTTGCGAGGGGAGTTCGTAGATTTTTCAAGTTTGTTGCCTGAAATTCTTGCACACTTCCGGCCCAACATTCCGGCTAGTGCACAGCCCGAATAACGATAGCCAGCTAAATATCGTTGAGTCGGATGACGCGAAGCAGGTGCGTCGCAAGGTTCACGATAATTACACATGTAGCTACCCGGCTCGAGGCATGGACCACATACATGTCTGTTATCACGGCTGCTGCCCTACACCGCACTGCTGAACTGATTGCGTACCAGCAGTTGATCCTGACTGCTAACTGCCAGTTCTTCCCAAGCGCGTGGCTAGAGTACGACCGCCAGCTGCGGATGCTCGTGGCCCAGTAACCAGGCACGAAGAGGTTGGACACCATCGACGTGAACCTATGGCAGATAGCTGTCACAGGCCATGCACACCCAAAATGCGCTCAATGTAAGACGGTCCATCCAGGGGCGGTTTGTGTCCTTTTCGTCCCGAAGCCAGCAGCATTTACCTCCAGTGGTCGCAACCATACCAGCGACGGCCAAGAAATCTGCCGCAACTTCAATGGAGGTCGCTGTTCTTCGTCGTCGTGCCGCTTCTCCCACACCTGCAGCCAGTGTGGCAAGGACCACCCACGCATCCTGTGCAACCAGCAGCAGCGCGGAGCCAATCGGCCACCCCGCCGCTCCTAGCAGAATGGCTACTGAATCGCTTGACTCGGTACGTAGCTTCTTTCCTATACACTCTGCAGACACCACACTGCTAGCTGACCACTTTGCCCGCCTGTTACGTAACCACTCAGATCAATCATGTGTTGCGTATGTTCTCCATGGCCCGCGCCGTGGCTTTACTCTTGGATCTGCCGGCCAACACGACATTTCGGTTTTCTCTAATAACCTACCATTGGCTTTCACTCACTCGGCATTTATATCCGAGCAATTAGCTGCTTCCTGCGCCCGCAGCGAGACCACAGGCCCATTTCCGTCACCTCCATTTCAGTTCATGCGCCGCTCTGGTATTGGTGCCATCCCCAAAAAGAACGGCAAGCCGCGAATGATCCACCATCTGTCTAGCCCGGAAGGCACCGGCGCGAACGACAGCATCCCTGCCGAGCCGCTCTCTCTGCACTACGTGAGCATTGACAACGCGATCAACATCATCATGTCATGCCCACAGCCTGTGTATTTGTCCAAGCTCGATGTACGCAGTGCATTTCGGCAGATCCCAGTCCGCCGTCAGGACTTCGCTGGGAAGGCTCCTACTACTACGAGCGCTTTCTGCCTTTCGGCCTCCGTTCCAGCCCAGCCGTCTTTGACTCAGTAGCCACAGCAGTCAACTGGATCATGCAGCACGAGTTTGCTATAGATCACCGGCTTCACTACCTCGATGACTTTCTCGATATCTCCACTGGTTTGGCTGCAGCCAACCAGCAACTCACCATCCCCCTCCGGGCGTTCACGTATCTCGGCACTCCTCTTTGCTCAATCCCAGCTCGAAGGGCCATCACCATCATTGACCTTCCTTGGTATTGTCCTAGACTGCGAGCGCCACGAAGCTCGGCTACCAGAGGACAAGCTGTCCGAGATCCGTGCGCCACTCATAGCTACTATCAGCGAGCGCAGCATCGGCCAGCGTCAACTCGAGTCCCTCCTGGGGAAGCTCACTTTTGCTGCCCGAGTCATCGTTCCTGGACACACATTCATGCGTGAACTATGATCAGCGTGCCCTGAACTGTATCTGTGTATGCGAGTGCGGTGCATAAAGCCCACCTTGAGAATGGGTTTGCCGGCCCCTTAGTAGATGCGTGGCTTCTGAAGAGGGTGTTGAAGGGCATCCAGCGATGCCATGGTACGGCTGCACTCACCCCTCGCCTTCCTATAACTATGCCAATCCTACGACACCTGACGGATGCACGCCGGAAAAGTAGTATCCTGAACGGCCATGACAAGCTGCTCTACCAAGCCGCCATGCTGCTTCTTTGGATTTCTTCGGTGCGCTGAATTCACTAATGGCATCACACGGGGCTGTACTAGCTCCCCTGGTGACGGACGCCTGCAACTCTTCCTGCTTTCATCCAAGACGGACCCATTCGGTAAAGGCGTTACTAGTGACATTGGCCCGTCTGTACCGCCGTACTGCCCGGTCCGTGCCATTGTTAGCTACCCATCTGTCACTCGTCGCGAGGGACCGGAGCAACTCTTGTTCGTACTCTCGAACAGACAGCAGCTGACCAGGCAGTCATTCACAGTAACAGTATGGTCTCTTGTCGCTGCGGCCGGTGTACCATCCCAGTCGAACTGCTCCGGGCATTCGGTCCACATTGGTGCAGCCACCACCGCTGCTATGGCTAGTGCCCCCGACTCCTTCCGAGTGGCAGGTCCGTGGAAAGAGCGATGCGTGTCTACGCTACATCCAGACTACAACAAGCGCATAGCGCCAGCTATCGTCCCGGCTTGCTGCCGTGCCATGGATGCCATGATCCCCAACTCGGGTGAGTAATGAGCTACTGAACTCTAGCTGCGCAATGCTTGCCTGTGCTGACATTAATTGACCCTTGCTGTGCGTCAATAGTGCTTAGCTAACGGAGTGCTGGTTTCATGGGTCCACTCTCACAACTGGTGTTATCTAGCTATTTGCTGCGGCTCTGCCTTGCGCTATATTACATCCATTTAGCATTGCAGCTCTACGTTGAGCTAACAGCAGCTCTACTTTGAGCTAACAGCAGCTCTACTTTGAGCTAACAGCAGCTCTACTTTGAGCTAACCGCAGCTCTACTTTGAGCTAACAGCAGCTCTACTTTGAGCTAACAGCAGCTCTACTTTGAGCTAACCGCAGCTCTACTTTGAGCTAACAGCAGCTCTATTTTGAGCTAACAGCAGCTCTACCTTGAGCTAACAGCAGCTCTACTTTGAGCTAACAGCAGCTCTACTTTGAGCTAACAGCAGCTCTACTTTGAGCTAATCGCAGCTCTACTTTGAGCTAACAGCAGCTCTACTTTGAGCTAACCGCAGCTCTACTTTGAGCTAACCGCAGCTCTACTTTGAGCTAACAGCAGCTCTACTTTGAGCTAACAGCAGCTCTGCTCTGAGCTAACAGCAGCTCTGCTCTGAGCTAACACCAGCTCTACTTTGAGCTTCAAACCAGTTGTTTCGAAACCAGCACTCCTCAATCCAAAGATGCCTCTTTGTTGACTTGTTTGTGTGAGGGATGGGGCTAATGGTGTACTAGCTGTGCTAGTACTTGTTAGCAACAATCCGAACTAGCGCACACACTGCACTGCATTGCTTTGTACTGCATTCAAGACTGACGTCATGCGCTTTGTTTTGCTGCGTAATCACAAATGGCACCAGCCCGTTTTTGCGGAAAAGAAAAACAAATCTTGCTTGCCCTGTTGTGCTCTTCCAGACAACGGATCGTGCTTCAGCAGTGTTTCTTTTCCCACCATCCCTCCCTATCCAACTTATTCACACCATCATAATATTATCGTACCCACTAACCGGGTCCACTCTCACAACTGGTGTTATCTAGCTATTTGCTGCGGCTCTGCCTTGCGCTATATTACATCCATTTAGCATTGCAGCTCTACGTTGAGCTAACAGCAGCTCTACTTTGAGCTAACAGCAGCTCTACTTTGAGCTAACAGCAGCTCTACTTTGAGCTAACCGCAGCTCTACTTTGAGCTAACAGCAGCTCTACTTTGAGCTAACAGCAGCTCTACTTTGAGCTAACCGCAGCTCTACTTTGAGCTAACAGCAGCTCTATTTTGAGCTAACAGCAGCTCTACCTTGAGCTAACAGCAGCTCTACTTTGAGCTAACAGCAGCTCTACTTTGAGCTAACAGCAGCTCTACTTTGAGCTAACCGCAGCTCTACTTTGAGCTAACAGCAGCTCTACTTTGAGCTAACCGCAGCTCTACTTTGAGCTAACCGCAGCTCTACTTTGAGCTAACAGCAGCTCTACTTTGAGCTAACAGCAGCTCTGCTCTGAGCTAACAGCAGCTCTGCTCTGAGCTAACACCAGCTCTACTTTGAGCTTCAAACCAGTTGTTTCGAAACCAGCACTCCTCAATCCAAAGATGCCTCTTTGTTGACTTGTTTGTGTGAGGGATGGGGCTAATATCATTTTATTGGATATTCAATAGAATATAGGGGTGCACAAACCCAAGAATAGTGCACATACTGTACCAGGGCTAATCTTTTACATGTTCAGCCAGCTGTCAAGGCTTCCCTGTTCAAGTTCGGACTTGCGACGCATCTCCTCCTTGTAAATAATGTCAGTCACCTGTGTGACCAGATCCAGTGTGCTGTCAAGGCCTCTCTGCAAGGCATACTTCTTGAGTCCATCAATGTGCTGAACTGCCTGCTTACCAGAGATGGCGTTAGCGACCACTCCATCCTCTGTGTCGCTTTCATCATCAACATCATCGTCATCATCTTGCTGCGCTTCACCTCTTGCATCAGCCAAGATCTCTTCCTCCCAACTGGGACTGAGGGTCTCTCTTGTACTGAAGTCATCATCAAATGCCACAAATTTGTTGGAGAATCCCTCGCAGATTGACGGTAGGCGCTCAGACCACACTTGGATGTCCTGCGGGTTCACATCCGCAGCTTCCCCACTGAGCACGGCTGTCTTCACGCCATATTTTTTCTTCCACTCGACGAGCCAACCGTTCGACACAGCAAAATCATTGTGGCCCATCACCTTCGCCAGTTGCAGGGCTTTCTCTTGAAGGAGAGGACTAGTCAGTGGCAAACGACGCGCCCGGGCTTTGGTAAACCAATCCCACGTTGCAGAGTTTACATCGCCGTACTTCGCCTTTCCTGACAGTCGACGAAGTTGGCTGGATGTCCCTGCCTTGAACACGTCCATGATCTTGTCCTTGATGATTGACTGGATCTGAGTTTTCCCGACACCCATGCGGTCCGCGATTGACCGCGCAGATTCACCTTTCTCGGATTTCCGAATCACATCCACTCTCTCGCTGAGGGAGAGGCAGCGACGCTTCTTGCTGGAGGATGTAGCCATGTTCCATCTCATGCGAAAGCCGACCACCCTCCAACGAGGCTGCCGTGAACGTCGCTCTTCTGTTTTTTGTAGCCTACAGGAAGGTTGTTTCACTACAACTGCGTGCGTACAAGTACATGTGTACGAAGTCTACGGTACGTGTGGCGTGCATACCTACGACGACCATGCCCGTATACATGTACGCGTATGCGACATGGCAGTAGATCGACACTGCCTGGATTTGAGAGCTACACTACAGCGCAGCCTCAGTACAGGCCAGGGCCAGTCGATCGCACTTGCAAGACAGCGCATTTTCACACCTTGCAGTTGACAGCGCACTGGCAAGTACAGTTTCGCACCTGACTGAACCTGGGTCGCGGTCGCTTACAGCAGATTTGAATGCAGCCACCGTGCATGAAATCGTGGTCGCTGGTCGCGCACAGCAGGTGGTCGCTCTGGACAGATCAGTTTGTATGTGAAACCGTCGGTGCACGGAAAATCGGTCGCTAACGGTAGATGGTCGCCTACAGCAGAGGTCGCTAACGGCAGATTTGACTGTACTTCGCAGCCTTTTCGGACCAAAACCAGTTGACTCAGCGTCCAAAGGACTACGACATATGGGCCAATCGCGGTCATCTGTGCTTCTGTATAAGAATGAAATGGCGCTTTTAGTGACATTCTGCATACAAATCCCCATCTAGTAGGGCGCAGTCACCCAGTTTCGGTGGAAGCGCGCGAATTCCATCGGGAATAAAGGAGGAAGGGAGCGTCTCAGCTTCCTCGGACCAAGACCATTTGACCCAGCACCCCGAAGACTACAACGGGTGAAATTTTGATTTTAGGCTTAACTTCCCCTTTAACATCACTCTCCCGATTGCAGTGACCCTTTCGACTGTAGCAAAACTTGAAAAGTGCCACTATCAGGCATAAAATGTAACTTGATGTACAATTTAGCGCAAAAATCCCAGATGGCGATGTATGTGTTGTTCCTTCATTGGATATGTATGTGTTGTTCCTTCATTGGATATGTATGTATAGGATATTGCACGGTTCCGAGGGGATTATTTTTCAAATCCCCAAGGCGCGCAGCGCCGCGGGGATTATGAAAAATAATCCTCGCAGACACTGTGCAATTTCCTGTGGATATGAGATCCCCTCGTTTGAGGGGATTATGAGCCATAATCCCCTCAAACTAGGGGAAATATCCGTAGATTACCTGAAAAGGGTGGTCTATGTGTTGTTCCTTCATTGGATATGTATGTGTTGTTCCTTCATTGGATATGTATGTGTTGTTCCTTCATTGGATATGTATGTGTTGTTCCTTCATTGGATATACATGCTAAGTTAGTAGTTGCTTGGTTTAGATCTGGCTTTGGAAAATCTATTTTTCATTGCTACCAGGTTCGGCCTCATTTCCTCTGTGCTGAGCTGACGATTCCACAAAGGACGAAACAGTTCTGTCCGCAGATTGAGCATGCTAGTATTTGTATAGCGTAATGTAGTAGCTGATCTGTATGGTTTTCCTTTCTTGATTTGCAGTTTGCGGATGCTCCCGACCTTCCCGAACACTCTACGTATCAAGATGTTCCACGTAACATGAAACGGCAGAACTCTGAGTATGACACTGATCTGTACTTGGCTCCGGCTGAAGCAAGAACATCGGGAAGAAGTGAGTTTTGCTTGTGCTGCATGCGTTGCTGGCAGCCATGACTTGCACTCGGGGTGCCTACGATGGAGTTGGTTTGGGAATATGCAAGCTCTACATTGTAGTCACGGTCGACTCGTCCCTTTCCGGAGCTTACTCATCTGTTTGTATGTGCCTGGTTGAGCTTTCCTGTTGAAGAAGACTCTCGCTTGTACACACCTTTGTGCAGGAGTTTGCCAAAGATTGCAAGAATGCATGGATAAGTGAAATATGGCTACATAAACACATCTACATTGAAAGAACATGACATGGTCAGTTTGAACTGCAGGCTGTGAAAATCTCAGCCGTAGCAATAGCACAACTGGTTAAACGATACTGGTACTGCTGTTCACTCAGCCAACAGTTGTTCGTGTAGAAAGCGGCCAAAGGTTTCCCCTACTTCCCGTAGACATGAGCGATTTATCGGGGAAACTGAAGCTACGCATTTGTGAAGGTGCACTGTCGTGCTTTGAGTTTGGCCAAAGACTGTTCTTGGTGATTTCTACCAGCAGTACTGAAGGCAGACTACCCGGTATCCCACACCCAATGACTAGGTGTTGTAATGTCCTAGGTACAAGTGTGCACTTGTGCATTTCAAGCACTTGTGGTGACTATCATGTGTGTATGGATGTTGTTCATTTAGGCACTCCCTTGCAGGCTGAGAGAAGCCGGTCCACGACCCCGGCAAGCGGCGCATCACCCGCTTTGATCCGTCAAACTCCGACAGCGACCACCCCCTCGGCCATCACCTCTACGACCGCTTCGGCCGCAGTGTCACCTTACAGTGGAGATGAGGCTGACACTGCCTCGCCACAGCAGCAGCGAAAAACAGATGATAGTGGTGGTGGCTTTGGCGGCTTCCTCAGGCGAAGCTTTAGAAGGAAGAAGGAAAATGTCATTAAACCTGCTACGTAAGAGCTCTGTATTATTGCTATCTTAATCCTGATATTTCTCCGCATCAACTACCATATGGAATGGGTAGAGGAACAGTGTTTTCCAGCTACTCACTTCCACTGGACAGGGCTACGTGTGCACTGTACAGGTGTATGATTGTCTGGGGGGGGGGGGGGGGGGGGGAGCTGAGGGGTGATGGAGGAGCAGTAGAAGGCTTGTACAGAGAGGGAGGGACTTAGCTTGGACCGTTACCTTGTCAGATACATGTATACGCCGGGCATGAGATATGGCATATTTTGACTGACTGCTCTAAATTGTTACTCGCATTTTTCTGGGAAACCACTTAACCCTTTCAGTGTAGGAGAGTACTGTGTACTGTGGCGATGGAAATCTTTCATGTACTCTGATATGTTCTTTCTCTCTCTTTCTCTCTCTCTCTCTCTCTATCTCTCTCTCTCTCTCTCTCTCTCTCTCTCTTTCTCTCTCTCTCTCTCTCTCTCTCTTTCTCTGTATGTTTGTGGAATGTTCTGTACATTCACGTCCCATGCAGTGTTTTGGTGCATAATGGCATTGTGGAAGGTGTTCTTAATCGTCGTGGTCCCATCAAGTGGTCTACTCATTACTGCCAACTCAAGTCGGGCCATTTCTTATGCTACAAGGGAGATGATAAGTCCTGCGTGGAAGAAGGAGCAGCCATACTCGACGTAAGTAGGACCTGATAACACTACCGTTTGCGCATATTGTTGTGAATTGAAGAGCATGCCCCAATACCATCTTAGAGAAGCTTTATGAACTGTTTAGCACGAGAATCCATGTGTCTGGTACCTGTGATTATGCCACCGTATCATCTGTGCTGCTGACCTGCTGACCTGCTGTTATCTGCTGACCTGCTGTTATCTCTTGCACTTGTAGATCCGTTTACTCGGCCAGGAAATCCGCAATGCCGACCGGGAGGCAAAGCGCTCGAATTCCTTCTCTCTTTCCAAGGCCTCACAGCAGCGTCGCAACCAGTCCACAGCATCATCGCGGGCTCTGTACTTCCAGAGCGACAACGATGAAGACTACCGCCTATGGTTCAAGCACATCAAAGACTCCACTCAGATACAGGTATGGTACCAGACTGATGTAGCTAAGTGTAAAGAGAAAACTGATTTTGTAGCCAGCAAAGCATGTTTTAAGCAATGCCCATGCATTGGCAGAGTGAAGTCTGTTTTGACTGGCCACTGCGATAGATCACCAGTATTGATTTAAAACATGTTGAACCTGATTGGGGGTGGGGTCCTTGTCTCTAGAGACCAGTTTTCTGTACGCAACAGGGTGTTTGCTGGGTGTATGTATGACTGTATCGTACGGTAGGTATGCAGATTCAGTGCAGATTTGAGCATTATAGTGCGTGCAGACACAACGCAGGACTTGATGACCAAGGAATGGACTTCTCTTCCTTCTTCCCTGCATGCACTACTTAGCTGTGGCACTAATTTGCTGCATTGCTGTTGGCTGAGGACATGTATGTCAATGACTGTGCATTGTACACCGCATCATCTGTGTCACATGATGGTAATATTAATAATTAAACAGTGTAATGTGGACTACTCTGAACAATAACACGCTAATACACTAAATACAGTCAAACCCATGATTTCCTGACCCTATCCCAAGTGCAATCCTCTGGTGACAGGAAACACTTGCGAATTCACCACAACCAAGCACCTGCCATCACCCTGATGTATTCATTATGCATGTTGTGGATAAGCATGTTGTGGATAAGCATGTTGTGGATAAGCATGTTGTGGATAAGCATGTTGTGGATAAGCATGTTGTGGATAAGCATGTTGTGGATAAGCATGTTGTGGATAAGCATGTTGTGGATAAGCATGTTGTGGATAAGCATGCCTACCTACCTGTATCTACAGTCCATTCAGAAAAAGATGATATCCTAACCTTTGGCCATGAAAGGGTCAAACTTTGAGTTTTTCACAATTTTTTCTGCAATCCCCTCTTCCAATTATGTTTCTGAAGTCCATTCTCCGAAAAGCAAGCCATAACAAGAAAAGGATTTCAGCCAGGTTTTGTCTTGTAAGCACTGAATTGGGAAAGGCCATGAAAATCCAATCCGCTTCACTCCATTTGCATCACTACATTGTCCGGTTCGAACCCCAGTTGAGGTACCTCTTTTGGACCCTTTTTCTAACCTCAAATTTTGCGGCACTGCACTGTGTACGATAAAACCACGAAAAATCGCCAAACGCTCCAGCTTGCCAGAGCCAGCACTTCAGCTTGCCAGAGCCAGCACTCCAGCTTGCCAGAGCCAGCACTCATCTTTTTATGAATGAACTTTAGAGGAGTCCGGTCATTTCCTGAAATGGAGGTGTCCGGTAATTACACGTTTCACTGTAATGGGTTTCCTGGCTTTAGCTTTCCCAGTGTTTCCCAGTGTTTCCCAGTGTTTCCCAGTGTGGAGTCTGGAGCTACGTTCTGTGTGCAGTCATTCTTCCCAATCACTGTTTCTAATTCTGTATGTATGTTCCCTTGTATAACACTCTAAAAGTGAATCATTCTCACCCCCTCGCCGAGCTATTGAATAAGTGAGGCGCAGCTAATACCTTTCATAGCCTTGATTGATTTCCTTATTATTAATTTTTGTCTGAAATGCTATCATGAATCATGACCTTGAAATTTGCTGGCTTGTCTGCACTGCTGTATACGGTATGAAGGCTTTGTCTTGTTATTACCAGTACTTGGGTTAACTACACTCTCCTCTCATAACAGAACTAACGTTATGACTGTATATGCTGATCATGTTTACACATTTTCTGTGCTGTCATGATGCTAATAGTGATCTTCTGTACTTGAACTGCAGTTGTGAGTCTTAAACTACAACAAAGTCATGTTTCTAATTTCAACAATGCATCGGTGGTACTGTGCAGTCAATTTTGAAACTGATCCTTTCTTTCTTGCATGATTGCACGATGCACAAGGAAATGTTTACTAAAGTCATTTTTTGACTTGATGCCCTGGCAACACTTGATAAACTGCTGATTGATAGATATCTGTGTCTCACTTCCAACATAGTCATACCATTTGCCTGTATCTCAATGTTCTCTACTGCTATTGAACTATTTCAAAGTACATGTTACATCTGCCATTGCATGACTTCTGCTGGCGCTTGAAGAACTCTGTGATACATGTTGGGTAACGATACACTAATACTTCATCCACAACCGTTCTACTTCACACTGCTGACGAGAGTATGACACACTGCTGCATGATTTGATTGATGGGTCCTCTCTGCTAGCTGGATGATGCAATGTGCCTGACTGCTGTGAAGTGTGCATTCTGCTTTGTTGCCTATGAATGGTGGAAGCTATGCCTGCTAATTGAGTAGCCGCAGTGCCAAGCAACAGAATGATCGTGACCAGTGATAACGCATGGTGGCTAATAGTAATTGCAACTGATTTTCTGGCTAACCTCAACGGCTTATAACCGTGAAATGCTGCTCACCGACCTAACCAACGCTGATGACACGCCGGCTTGAAGCTGTGAAGTGCTACGCGCGTCCCAATTTCTTCTGCTGCCTGAGCAAGTGCTGCAATGCACATGTATGTATCCCTGGTGTTGTGTTGTCACTGCTGCCGGTGCCGGTGCCGCTGTGCAGGTCCAGGCAGTCAGTGACATCACGGCTGTACATCGTGCTGGACGACATCCACCGGCAACCATGGATCTTAGCCAGGCTCAGCGAATACACTCGCCACCAACGTCACCACTGCCATTCAACTTAGCGCAACCTGATGGAGAGCATGAACATGACGCAGATGACGAAGAGGGAGAGGAAGTGTTTGTAAGGCAGATGTGTAGGATGACAGACAATATAGCCAACCTGCAACCTGGACATCAATTCAGACCATTCTTCTGCCTCTGTGCATGCTATCAATTTTCTTTTCCCTTCTCTATCTGTACCTAATATTTCGAGCGTTTTTTCACAGTTTTACACCTCTGTGTTATCCTGCTCAGTGCTGTGACTGAGTCTCCAAATGACATCATTACGTATGTGAGCCCTTCTACCGCATGCTGTTCAGCATTGGATGGTGTGTAACTGGCATGTGTGTGTGTGCGTGTGTACATGTGTGTGCGTGCGTGCGTGCGTGTGTTGATTGTAGAATGAACCTGTGTTACCAGATGAAGACACATACCAGGTACCTAGACCAGCTCAGCAGGCTGGCACCACACTGCCGTCGTGGCTACAGGATGAATTGCATCAGAAACAGGAGGCTGAGGCTATGTCTATGTCAACTGGCAGGCCGATTGCAGGAAACCCACTATGGTGGGCAGTGGTGTCGTCCAACATTGAAGAAACATTTCAAGGTCAGTTGGTGCGTATTCTGTAGACTGGTGAATGGAGTGATTTACACATGGCTAGTCAGACTGTGTGAGAGTAGTCTTGGTTTATACACAGACACTCCTATTACACTGACCGTGGCTGTATGTACAGCATTTCCGTGACAGAAGATTTCGAAGCTTCCTCTATTTCTTAGCTTGGTGTTGGTACTGCTATATGTCATTGTTGTGTGTAAAAAAAAGGGCATTGTCAGTTGAGTTTTACCTTGTCCTGTTATTTTCATTCCCATTTTCAGGCCCACTCTCTATCAAGCATGGTACAGTGGCAGCATTACGCAGCTGGAAAGCGCATTGGTGCACAGTGGCTGGCGGTAGACTGAACTGTTTCCGTCAGAGAACAGACACTGAGAGCGTTGTGGAGCTGCAGCTGGGTGGCCAGCTTCTCAGCCATGCGCCCGAGCGTGGCAAGCCGTTCTGCTTCAACATTTTCATTGACCAGAAGCTGGCGCTGTGCCTCTCCGTGGAGGTCAAGAAAGATTTGGATGACTGGATGGCGCTTCTCCTAACAACGGCTGGTGGAAAGGCAGCTGAAGCTGATGTGCCTCTCTTCTACAACTATGTTCCGAAGACAACGTCTGAAGCAGCCAAGCCAGTAGTCCGCCAACCTGGCAGCAGTGATATTGTAGCGGACGGTGCTGGCTACTTCCATGAAATCCTCCCTGACAGAAACTTAGCGGCAGTGCGGTCAGGTGTAGATGACTACCAGCCACCCGATGTACTACTGGTGAAAATTGCCAAGGCACCTCAGCCGGTGGCGGGGGCGACGTCGGCACTAGCCAGCTCAACAGCAGCACCTGTCAGTCAGTCCACTGCAATGCCACCAGTGTATAAACCCAATGTTGATAGGCCAGAAGCTAGCCGCGCAGCCGCAACCCCGGCTATGGCAGCAGCAGCAGCAGCAGCATCTGCAGAAAATGTCCATGATGGCTATCTGCAGAAGCGTAGTGGTCCATCACTTTGGCATCGGCGGTACTGCTATTTGCAGGGAACAATGCTACATCTGTATTCACAAAAGGGTAGCCAAAATCCCATTCAAAAGCAATCACTTGCCAACTGTGGGCTTGGAGCCACTTCGAAGGATGGCAAGAAAGATGCTTTCAAGGTGAGACGATGAGCCGGGTAACTGCTCTAGTTTGGTTTGTCTATTAACCCCTTATCTTTAGTAGCAAGATGCCAGTGGTGTAGGACGCGGGGGGGGGGGGGGGGGGGGGGCATTTTGGCGGATATGGGGCGAATCTTGGCAGGTTGTGTTATATGGAGTATTACGGGTACATGTACAGCAGGTATATGAGCACTATAAAATACTCTGGGGGTAAAATACCCTGGGGGTAAAATACCCTGGGGGTAAAATGACATGTCAGCCCACTCCAGATGCTCTCCTTTCGTAGCTGGCAACATTTTTTTGATTTCCTGCATTCTGTCATGTTTTATCGTAAGTTAGTTTGCCATCAGCTTTTTCAACATCCGGTTCTGTGATATGCTCCAATAATATTTAGTTAGAACTTCTTAGAAACGTAGCACAATGTGCGTGCATGCTTACTATCAACATATTCAACGTGTACATGACCTGGTTATGATCTGCATCTATTCTGTATCTATTCTGTGAGAAAAAACCCTGTAACATCGTTCTCCATCTCGTTTGGCGGCTCCCAGGTAACACCACCTAGTCCCCATCCTCGTATCTACTTGCAAGCCACCAGCTCCAGGGAGCGTGCTGACTGGATGGAAGCTCTGCAGAAGGCCATTGTCGAAGCGTCAGCCTCCACAACAGCGGTTGGAATCGAGCCAAGTCGCAGACGCTTATCGTTCCGCAGGCCAAAGAGCAATGTTATCAACATGTCTGTTGTGAGTGACGCCGAAGATCAACCCAGGAAACGAGTGAGTGATCCATCTATTCTGGCCTTCAACTTATATTCTGAGCATTACTGGTATTGGTATCATGGACATGTGTTGTATTCTTCACCCACCGCATAATACCGCTCTTCAGCACTACTATACATGTATTTGGACATTGCTAACATTCAGATCTCAACCATACAGAGGAAGTTCGTTTGCAGTTGTTAATGGGGCTGACTAACGTTACCTGCATGCATGCCTTTCATTACTTCCACGTACTGGTTATTTGCTGAGCATAGAACAGGACACATTGTCTCATTTTACTTCTTACTGGCAACTATGGGGAACAACTGATATGTGCACACCAGTGTTCCACAACATATTGGTGCAGTCATCTACGGAGTAGTTTTCAGTTCTTTCTAAATTGATGGGCAGGCATAGTGGGATTGTCTAAGACCATGGTTGTACCAAGCTAAAGTCCTGCTTGGGATTAATTGGGAACTCGTGGCCTGGCACAAGGAGAACATAGATGCAGCGAATGGAATTTTCAGTTGTTGACCACTTTGGTGGTGGGTCTGATCTACTCACCTCCCACCGCTTCAGGAGCTGCATCTGCGCCTTAATCCTTGAGGGTGGTGGTTCCTACGGATGCGGAAACTCAGTGAAATTAAGTCTCTACTCAAACTGTGAATTGTTTTGAAATTGATTGGTGGCTGTTTGTGAACTCTTTGTGCTGCAGGGGCTCATCGGTCGCCTACGCTCTTGGAGCCAGGAGAATATTTCACGTCGCTCTAGCAGACACAGTGAATTGGTTGAGCCAGGTGGTGCTGCTACAGGCGGCTATGATCAAAACAGTCCTCAACCATTCGTTCGTGGAACAGTGTCACTAGGACATGGGGAATTCAAGCGAGCACGTGGTGGAAAGCCAGTTGCTCCCAGTGCTGGCGGTAAATCGATGAGCGGTGTGCTCTTTCTCAACTACGGCAGCGGAGAAGGCTCGATGTGGTGCAAGGTTGCTGATGGCGAATTGTCTGCATTCAGCACACCGCAAAACCGGGAGCCGGCGTATGCTGCCAACCTCGCCGGCGCGCATATCAAACTCTCATCACATCCTCTGCCTCAGGACCGTGTCGTCACCATTGACGGTGGCTCTTTGCAGAAACCTGTTCTAATACGGGTGAGCAGCATGTACATCTTGATGACAAACCTAGTAATGCCTCTGTACATGCAATCCTAGATTGATTAGGAAAATAGGCCACCTGCCGCAGTTTGACATTTTCTGTGAAGTCCCAATTTCAAATTGCAACTTAATATCATAATTGATGCCTATATGTACTCCTAACAAGTTAGTTTTCTGACTATTGCTTGTGCTCTGCACTTCCTGCCTTTGATTTAGGTCAATGGCCAGGCAAAGACTTTCGATGACTGGGTGAGTGCGTTGCAATCAAGCACTGTCCAAGAAAAGCCGCTAAAGAGAAGCTTGAGTATGCGCATCCGCCGATCGATTCGTCGTAGACCTGCACCGCGGAAGCGAGGAAGCGATCCTGCACCAAGCGCTTTGCCTTCTGGTAGTATGGGCACGTCACCGCTTGATCTCGCCACACCAAGCCGTCCTCCTACATATGCTACTGGGGGTGGTGGTGCTGCTCCCAAACCTCTTGGTAGTCGGCCACTTCCTCGCCCGCCAGGTCAGTTGCCAACCTTGCCCCAACCTCCATCAGATGAAGTGGCTCCACTTGATAGCTTGCTGCCCGGCTATGCCAGTCGCCTGACAAGCGATCTGAATGCACTGACAACAGCTGTTGATATTGATGGTAAGCATTGCTAGAATGTATGCACGTGTGTGCGTGTGTGTGTGTGTGTGTGTGTGTGTGTGTGTGTGTGTATGTGTGTGCGTGCGCGAGCATATGTGTGCGTGTGTGTCTGTCTTTCTTTCTGTATTATGTGTGTGTGCCCGCTTGTGAGTGGGTGTACATGGTGTGTACGGTGGTGTGTACGGTGGTGTGTACGGTGGTGTACGGTGGTGTACATGGTGTGTACGGTTGTGTGTACGGTGGTGTGTATGGTGGTGTGTATGGTGGTGTACAGTGGTGTGTACGGTGGTGTGTACGGTGGTGTACAGTGGTGTGTACGGTGGTGTGTACGGTGGTGTGTACGGTGGTGTGTACGGTGGTGTGTTCGGTGGTGCACACATGCATGCGGACATACACATAGTGTGTACATTGATTCCACGGCGAGGCAGGCTACATGCGATGATTGACTGACGAGCAGCTATGTGTGTGGGTGAATGTGTGGGTGAATGTGTGTGGGTGAATGTGTGTGGGTGAATGTGTGTGGGTGAATGTGTGTGGGTGAATGTGTGGGTGTGTATGTGTGTGGGTGAATGTGTGTGGGTGAATGTGTGTGGGTGAATGTGTGTGGGTGAATGTGTGTGTGTGTACGTGTGTGTGTGTACGTGTGTGGGTGAATGTGTGTGGGTGAATGTGTGTGGGTGAATGTGTGTGGGTGAATGTGTGTGGGTGAATGTGTGTGGGTGAATGTGTGTGGGTGAATGTGTGTGGGTGAATGTGTGTGGGTGAATGTGTGTGGGTGAATGTGTGTGGGTGAATGTGTGTGGGTGAACGTGTGTGGGTGAATGTGTGTGTGTGAATGTGTGTGGGTGAATGTGTGGGTGTGAATGTGTGGATCACTGCCGTTCTGCTTCATGTTCTTTATACGTATGTTTGCTGACTGTTGCCACTCCTTGTTTTCTGCTTTACCAAAGTACCATATGTAACGGTTATATGTGAAACTCTGCTTGTGTGCGATGCTTTGACTTCTTTACTGCAGACACTCCTTCCAAGAAAGACTCTCGCACCCCATCCCTACCATCTGATGATCGAAGACCCAGCCAGGCTACGGTACGGGCACCATCTGCTGGCAGAGAAACACCAGAGACACCTGCAGTCACTGTTCTGCCAGGTAGGGATGTGAAATCACCCCCCGCAAAGAAAACGCCTTCTCCTGCAGAAACAGGTACTCGGCAAGGAAAGGCAGTTGTTGGCACCGAGACAAGTCCACCATCAGCAAGTCTGGCCAAGCAAACCAGTTCAAGCAGCCTGGAGAAGTCGGCCGCCAAGAAAACACCACCCGCAGCACCTCGCCGCATGGACAGTATCAGCAATGGCCCCAGCAGCAGCAACGGCAGTAGCAGCAACAGCTACAGCATACCACCGCCCGTCATCAGGCAAGTCAAGAATTCCCCACGGCCTCGTGCTCATACTGATGTTCAGATGTCAGCTCCACCGCCACCTCCCAGTGGCATGTCAAGCCCAGCAGTGTACAGTGACTTGCTCAAGGAGTATGAAAACAAGGCAAAGTCTGTTAATGTACAGGCCACCGAACAGAGAACGACGCTGACACAGGAACGCATCGATCTTGTCCGTCAGCAAGTTGACTTGGAGGATCGAATCCGCACTTGCAATGTGCGCCTAGCTACTGTGGAAGCCAAAGGCAAAGGTAACAGCACCGTCTTCAAGGGTCGAGTTTCTGGTGAGGATCCATTTGAGATCAAGCGTGAGCGAGCAGAGTTGCAGAACAAGGGTGGATGGGTGGAGGGTAAAATCCAGCGTATCGATGACCAGATCTTGCGTGTAGGAACAGAACTCTCTACGGCCATTGATCGACTGGAGAAGGAGCGCAATGCGCGTATTGAGCAGATCAGCGCACAGGAACTTGAATCTGCCATGTAATAGCCTTCCAGCTACGGCATGGCTGTGGCTGCTGTGATGCATGCATTTGGTGAATAGGTGAAGATAAGCTGAATGAACTGATATACTCAACGTGACTGGCTAACAATAGTAATTATTATGGATATACAGATCGCACGGCACGTTTTACACATCGCCGCCTTTTATTGTACACTGGAGAGTATTCACCGGAGACTAACTGTGCAGAGAGATTTCATAATTATAATGCACATTCCTTTCAATCATGCCATTGCCAATATCATGATCAACTGGATATTACAGTACAATGCATGCTTACTTGTTTTGAGCTAACTGGAAACGACAGTGTACACTCTTGTCAGTCTACCTACTGAAGACTCAGCCACCTGACCTTTCTACCCGCTGTTAATACAATGGCTTCTGGTGCCATGTGTGCTGATGTGCATAACGAATATGCGGTATTTGAACATGCACCGCTTAGCTAGCTGTGTACTCGACCAACGCTTTCTGGTGGGCGTCCCTATGAATGTCCTGTTATCATTTTGATTGCCGCATATACCCATCAAATTGCTGCTTTTGTACTTGTCCTTTTTTCCCCTGATGTTTTAATGTAGTCCTACGATCATGCTGTGTCACTTGCTTTTCTTGCACTGCACTGTTACCATGGTTACTACACAGCAGAGTGCACACCATGTATATGATCTTGAACCTCTGAACTAGTACTATTCTACTATAGATTATGTACTCGTTGCAGGGCCGGAAGCAGAGGAGGGGTGGGGCTTGTATAAGAAGACCATAATTATGTCACAGCCTTATGATAACTCCCAGTGCGTGAAAAGGAAGACGACTTGTGTGCAATGAGAGCTGGTTCTCGTTCACAGATGGTGTCCTTACCCGGGATGACGTAATTGAGAAGAACGCCCAGCTTTGTGTGGCCCAGCAAGTGTCAGAATGATCCACTTGCCCGGCTTGGCTGTATGCTTTGGCTGTACAATGTCACCGTTGCTTCACAGGATAGCACCATACACGGTTTGTCTGCGGTTTGTCTGCTACAAACATTGTGGGTGAGAGTGAAGTATATGCAGGTAGATTCGTTGTCAAATTTTTAATACACAAATTGAGCGCGATGCTGATGATAAATTGATATTGCTGTAAGAATTAATCCGCTGTGATGAGAGGCGAGTGCTGATAAGAGCAAAATTAATGTGTGTAGTCTAGATATGTGATCATGCAACTGGATGAAGCTACATACTAGGAGCTACACGTATGCTGCTGATAATCTCTAAAGCAGTTCATCGAATCTGAACTGAAACCCATGGTAGCAACAAAGCACAGTAAACTTGCTACCATATACAGGTGTGGGCCATGCTACGCTATGGCTGCATCTAGTTACCATGAACAAAATTTGATAACAATGCAAGCTACATCTACTGCGGCTGTAACGATGTATAGTAGTAGTAGCTGGAAGAGACCATGCACTCAGCGATGCGTACTTCAGCATCCCACCAAACATAGCCTGGCACTCCACTGAAGAGACTGACTTGAACGTAAGGCACATGGCACAGGTGGAGGCCCTGCTTGTGCAAATCCAGCAAACATACCACTGACACAACTACTCCTACCTCCAAAGACAAACTACGACAGTGATGCAGCATGAGACAATGTAACCATGTAGTCACTGTTTCCATGGCTACTTGCCATGGATTAGCAAGACTAGTTTAGTAATAGTAGTAGCCACTGCTATCACCAGCATCCCCCTACAGAGTGTCCGATGGGGAAAGAACTGGCTGGAGATGTATGCACAAATCTCTACATGGAGTGTGGCTTGGCACGTTCATAGCTGCCAGATGCAGCTCTACAGTCCAGTCAGGATGTGTATGCTGAGTCCCATTGTCCTATCCTTCACGAACTAGTTAGTTTACTCCGACATGATGATCAGCGTGTGTTTACCATGGTTAACACTGGCATGATGATCTGCAGGCCCGGGTGTGTGATGGAATGACCAGTCACTAATTGTCTTCGTCGACACTGGTAGAAGCAGAAGAGGAAATGATCAGTTATGTTGTTCGTTAGTTGCTGCACCGGTACCACCAGATACCCTTTCCTGCGACTGTCGCCACTCCCGCTACAAACAAACAATAAGAAGAGAGAGAGGGAGAAAACACAGAATGAAGGAAACACAATGTTTAGCTGCCAATATACTAAAAGCTAATTTTTACACAGTACTCAAGTAACACTGATACACACACACAAGTAGTGTATGTGTGTGTGTGCGCTATGAAAATCTGTGGGTGCACATCCAGTGCATTTGCAGATTTGCGTGCTTCTCTTGCGACGGCGTATACATGGTACACGGTACATGGTGTGTGTGTGTGTGTGTGTGTGTGTGTGTGTGTGTGTGTGTGTGTATGGGGAGGGGGTAAGCACTAGCAGTGAGCAGACCAGTGTTCCATCTTAACCTTGTGTCAACCAGTATCTTTATTACAGTCAGAGCAAAAATTGTGGTAGCGACTTGGGCGATACCTGAGGGGCTGTCAGTAATACCAATGTGAGAGCGTGGACAAAGTTTCAATACTGTCAGTGGCCTGTGCCGTAATTAAAGGAGACTGGCGAACTTTGCTGATGATCGTATGGATGTGTGCATTGACTACACTGGACTTACACAAGACTTACACAGGACTTACACGGGACTTACACGGGACTTACACGGGACTTACACGGGACTTACACGGGACTTACACGGGACTTACACGGGACTTACACGGGACTTACACGGGACTTACACGGGACTTACACGGGACTTACACGGGACTTACACGGGACTTACACGGGACTTACACGGGACTTACACGGGACTTACACGGGACTTACACGGGACTTACACGGGACTTACACGGGACTTACACGGGACTTACACGGGACTTACACGGGACTTACACGGGACTTACACGGGACTTACACGGGACTTACACGGGACTTACACGGGACTTACACGGGACTTACACGGGACTTACACAGGACTTACACAGGACTTACACAGGACTTACACGGGACTTACACTGGCCTGTATGTAGTACTACAGTGCTGGCCAAAGAAGTCCACCATCATGAATAAAAATAGCGTTGCCAGGCGCTACGCAGCCCTAGCACTACACACACTGCCACTGGTTTGTGCACTCTAACGCGGCGCTACTTTATTCATGAGGTTGAATTTCTTTGGCCAGCACTGTAGTATTTCAAGTGTGCACAATGTTACCGCCAACAGTACCACCTGGTGGCATAAGTCCTACAGACAGTACCACCTGGTGGCATAGGTCATACAGACAGTACCACCTGTTGGCATAAGTCCTACAGACAGTACCACCTGGTGGCATAGGTCATACAGACAGTACCACCTGTTGGCATAAGTCCTACAGACAGTACCACCTGTTGGCATAAGTCCTACAGACAGTACCACCTGTTGGCATAAGTCCTACAGACAGTACCACCTGTTGGCATAAGTCCTACAGACAGTACCAGCTGTTGGCATAAGTCCTACAGACAGTACCACCTGTTGGCATAAGTCCTACAGACAGTACCAGCTGTTGGCATAAGTCCTACAGACAGTACCACCTGTTGGCATAAGTCCTACAGACAGTACCACCTGCTGGCATAAGTCCTACAGACAGTACCACCTGTTGGCATAAGTCCTACAGACAGTACCACCTGTTGGCATAAGTCCTACAGACAGTACCACCTGTTGGCATAAGTCCTACAGACAGTACCACCTGTTGGCATAAGTCCTACAGACAGTACCACCTGTTGGCATAAGTCCTACAGACAGTACCACCTGTTGGCATAAGTCCTATAGACAGTACCACCTGTTGGCATAAGTCCTACAGCATGCAGTACTATTATCCACTAACCAACAGAGCTTCTTGCTGTACATGATGGGTACGTGCCAGCTCCATAGTCACCCAGAGTGGCACGTCGGGAATGACTATCATGATTGCTACCTTGATAGCTAGGAAAATATGCTGCATTGGAGTGGAGAAGAAGAATGGAGGAAAGAAATAGTGTCAGCATGTTCCCGAACAACATTCAACTTAAACGGAAAAAAGGAAAATGGTGGGGCACAATTTATGCGTTAGAGTCCACCAACTAAACCAGATTTCAAACTGTATACATAGTCAACGTTACTACAACCATACATCCACGTGGAACATCGCTGTTCTGCCCCTGAAGCCAATTCTGCAGTTCACTGGCCAGAAGCTAACTTTCCAGCAGCAGGCTTATGAGTTTCACTTACCTCCACTACCACAAGTATGACCATGATCTGTATGAGGGTGAATCCAGGCAACCACTGATCAAATCCTCCAAACACCAGCAGCATGGCACAGTTCACAGCCACTGCTACGTAGCCCAATATTTCAAAAGCTAGCTGCAGCGAAAAAAAACATCAAGCTATAAGATAACACGGCACGTAAAGGTTGAACATTCACAAAGCATGGCTCTAGCATTTGTAAAATTCACAAAGCATGGCTCTAGCATTTGTAAAATTCACAAAGCATGGCTCTAGCATTTGTAAAATTCACAAAGCATGGCTCTAGCATTTGTAAAATTCACAAGGTAGTTACACTCATGATACTTTTTAAAACATTTCAACTTGAAAACATTCTGTGACGGCACTTGTTACTTATCATGTGACACTGATCAGTGATTATTCATGCACACTAACAGAAAGTTGCTCATCATGCACCGATTATTCTGCGATGACCATCTAACCCGGCACTGCAACATCAAGCTTCATAAAAGCATGTAGTGAGCCGCGGCGGCTCGGTGCAGTACCTGCCAGATGCCTATATCTCTAGCATCCTGTGCAAATGGTCGCTGCAGGCTGAAGCACAGCTTGAAAGAGTCAGTGCGCATCTCGAGAAGATTGTTGGCGAACGCAAGCAGTCCTGCAAGCGGGAAGGCACCCGAAAACAGGACCACATATCCAAACTGGATCCACATCTCCATGTAGTCATCCACTGTATCCTATACACGCACAAACACCGGCAAAGCCAAGCACGACATCAGATGATCAGATGGAATCTGTGACTTCTGTTATTACCTACTACTAGTAACCAGACCAATGCAACAAAAAAGAAATATGAAAACTCTAGTTAAAGGGGCAAGACATCTCAGGGCCTTGCAAGCTGTCAGCAGCATGGGTATGCAATGAGCCGGCAGAGATATCCCATCCACATGATCCATGACCATGACTCAGTGCTGAGGTCAAGTCACAAGCTTAGGTGCTTACTTCAAAGTAGGTATCTGTTCTCCTGTCAGACCTGAGTCAGTCCAATGCCAAGGAGATCTACTGAAGTAGCTGAATGCACCACCCGTCCCAAGACAATACAATACATGTATGAAGCGGCGGTCAGGTGTTATGGTTACCCAGTCAGTGTACACTATAATGTTATGGTTACCCAGCCAGTGTACAATCATCATCATCATGTAGTACCAGCTTACACTATAGTATCCCATCACACTTTCCAGTTCAGGTGTAGATAGTGTGGTCCTAGTCTCTTCGCTGTCACCGCTGCCACTGCCCTCTTCCAGGTCTTCCTCTTCGTCAATGGACACATCTCTCTGTTGCTGCTGCTGCTGCTGCTTAGACTTCTCCACTAGGTAGACTTTCTTTGCATACTGCTTGGCGTACGGAAGAGCCATCTCCTTGGCAATGCTTGTCAGTTGGCGAGTGACCAGGAATGCTGCAAGTTGCTACAATCCAGTGAACATGCATATACATAGCAGAGACACGCACATAGTCACATCCACAGATGCACATAGTCACATACACAGATGGTGGACTATCATCAGTGATCGACAAGTCTGAGATGACGGAAACATAACTGGACACGACGAACTCAAGACGAAGACTGCTTTCACACAACAGTAACCCCCGCATGCACCAACACATGGCGTACACATGGCGTACACATGGCGTACACATGGCGTACACATGGCGTACACATGGCGTACACATGGCGTACACATGACGTACACATGGCGTACACATGGCGTACACATGACGTACACATGGCGTACACAACATACAATACGACAACAACAACACTATGAACAGTTGTACGCTTTCATGATCCTCAGGCAACCTAGAACATGAAACCTTTATAACTGTAACCTACTACTTGTGATAAGTGTATATACAGCGGATAAGTCATTCACCGGCCTGCCTGTCATTCACCGGCCTGCCTGTCATTCACCGGCCTGCCTGTCATTCACCGGCCTGCCTGTCATTCACCCGCCTGCCTGTCATTCACCGGCCTGCCTGTCATTCACCGGCCTACATGTACATGATACTGCTAAACAGAGTGGTGATGCATACCATGCTAATTATAAGCTAAACCTGGTACAACGACACAGGCAACTGTGCCAGATCAGTGATATGTAGTCATGGAGGTCAGGCTACCAGCTACTGCTGCTGCCAATGCTATGTTCGTCCTTTACAGAATTCTGCAAACCATCCACAAAACACATGACCGATGCACTTGGAGTAGGTATGAAAAAAGTAAATCATCGTGAACGTTCCCAAAGGGAACTCACGACGGCCGCTAACACCTGGCAAACCCTAGCGGCACATGCAGCGCCTAACGGTGGAGTAGGTATGACAAGCTTAAAAACTTACAGTCTTCAGTTCGTCCAAGTCCTGACGCCAGAATGCAATGTAGAATAGAGTCATGAAGCTGTTGATGAACTGAAACTGAATGATCAGTGAAAACGCATGTGCCCATCGCGCAGTATGCAGCAAGTCAATCCACACAATACATAGCAAGACTGTGATTTGCAGAGTGACCTATCACAATACATAATACTGGTACATACATAGCGAGTGTGACATATTACTAGTGAACAGAGGGTAGCAGGGTATTTAAAGAGGCGGTTTCAAAAACAGACAAGCTGCAGAGGAGACCCGCAAAGGAGACCCTGCAAGGCCATGGCCTGATGATGGACAAATCCACTCTGTACTCGGAAATCAGTACGAGCACACAGGTCAGGACGACTCACCACTATCAGCTTAGTGACGAGCGAATTGTCAAATTCCAGCTTTAGCCGATGATTCTCTTCAGGCAGAGAGCAGAGAGATCAGTAAAACGCTATGATTGGTGCCACTGTGTGTGTGTGTGTGTGTGTGTGTCCCATATGGTGCAGTGGTATGTGCAGCGATTTCCAATCGACAGGTTGCGGGTTCGATTCCCGACGATTATGGTCACACACATCTTTCTTCTCTTTCTCCGACCCCTCCTGACTTTTCTTTCATCCTCCTGGGTGGTTACCAACAGCCAGTACATGCCGGAGTATGTGGTGTGATGTGTGTGCATGAGAAAAAGAAAAAAATGAAAAAGACCAAAAAGTAGGGATTCACTGGCCAGAAAAAGCCACTTCATAGCTGTGTGGTGTAGACCAGGCTGAAATAGTGGCGGTCAATTCTTCAGCCTTGCAAGCTGTTAAATGGTGCAATCCCAGCACAAGCTGCTATGGCTTCTGCTGTGGCATCGCTATCATCGCCTCCGGCGATGGGCGTCAAATGGTCAAATGGTGTGTGTGTGTGTGCGTGCGTGCGTGCGTGCGTGTGTGTGCGTGTGTGCACTTTGTTGCACTCAGTGAGTGCAGCATATTGATCTGAAAGAGCTTACACAGATGTTGGTGTTTGACATGACTAATGTTACAATGTGGTTCTCCACCAACATCACAACATCACAAACAATCCATAGAAGCACATGCTCTTGAGACAAAAAAATCAGGATGACGTACACAAACAAACGTGCATCATAAATTTAATGTAATACCAAGGCTTGTAAAGTACAAAAATTAATAACAACCTGCATCTAATCTACATGCATAACTGCACTGCTGGTAGTACACAGCATTTACACAATCTTAGTTTCCCGAAGCTTCCTGTAGGTACCATCCATTACTATAAGGGATCCATAATGTACGCAATTGAGTGGTTTTGAAGTGAGAATTTGATCACAATAGGCGATATATTGCTATAGCCAATTACTCTTATAACCAGTTTAGTTTGAGTGGAAAAGATACTTTTGCTTTTGAATTTTGAAGCTGATAACACTATAACCGGTATATCATTATTATTATAACCGCCAACCCTATAGCCAATCTCTACCAGTACTGGTATACACACCTAACTAATAGACCCCGGTGGCAGTAGGTAAATCAAGGAAATGCTTCACCTACCAGAACCATTGGTAACTAATTATGCATGAGAATCGCACAGGCCTTTCACCCTACATGTACACACTCAGCCACTACAAAGACCAACGTAACCGTATGATGGAATTCTACAATCGTTTTTTCCAAATTAACTTACCATACATTGTGAGCCATGAAGCAAGCTTTCTGTAGATGGTGCTCAGCCCCACGATAACAACAGATAGCATTATCTACGGGGACAAGGAAACATACCAACACCCCATGCCACACATGTACGTACATGTATAACAATAGCCTCAGTCAGATAATTGCCAATGCAGAGTCTGAGGTCACGGAAATGTGAGTCCTGAACATAAACCATGGGCATGTTAATATTGCGACAGACCTTGGATAATTCATCTCCAAGCACACAAGCACGCTTAGGCACACATAGTCCCATACACAAGCGCACGTGACCAGTATTACCTGTGGGATAGCTGCCACAAACGAATCTCGTGAATAATTGGTCTCAATGTAGTCGCGAATCCTGTACGTAACCAGCATAGCCCCAATGGACACGCTGAGAGCAACAAGGAGAATTGGTATTGTGACACACTGTCTCTTGGCTCGCTCCACAAAGCTGAGTGGCTGTAGTTGCATTGTGCCAGTGACTGGGCAAGGTCCCAGAGTACTCTGCAGGTCATAGTCGTGTAATGCAATGCCACACAGTCAGCATGAAGACACACAGTATAAGTAACAAAAGCCTATTGATACAGCAGTAAGTCTACATCCCAGTAATACAGCATAACATGACAGTGCTCTTCACAGGACTGGGGATGATAACGGGCAAACCAGGAACTCACAGCATTTTGCAGTTGCCAAAAATGAGTGACAGAGAACTACTAAGTCTTCGTGAAATTATAATTATTAGAATCGGTACTTTTCAATGAATGCTTTCGGACATCTGCCGGATACAATATCATGTCATAGTACACTGCCTTCAAGATCACCGTCTTTGTGGTCCACTTCACAACAATAACACACACAGAAGTCTCTGCTGTGAGCACGGTGGCTCGGCAATGGCGAAGTACTATTGCCACTATTGCTGCAGCTGATAGAAAAAAAGACACATGCAATATAAAATCATATTCTGTGTAGTAGCTCTGCCGCACACATCACAAATAAAAACTCCCCATTAGAATGATAATGATGCAGTATTGGCAACTAACTGTCTACGGAAACCACCTTCTGTGACGGAAATACATAAAACAAACTGTACCTTGAAGTATGGGTTTATTGTGTCAGTGCATGTTAATTTCGACTCCAGCACGCCCCAGCTGTAGGCAATCTCGCTGGAGCGGCGCTTCCACATCTCCAGGAAGACCGAACTCCAGATGACGTTGAACAGTGATAGGGTGATTGCCACGGCACACTGGTATTTCATCTCCTGTGCTTTGTCATCCGTACTGTACAGTGTCATGTAGAGCAGACTGCCAAACACTGCTGGGGCGATCAAGGACAGGGTGTAGAACTGTAACCAGGAGAAGTAGAACGCTATCTTCTGACCGAAATAGTCACGCACTGAACCTCCACCGCAAGCCGCTATACATGGCACAGAAAAGGAGAGTTATAAAAACACCTGTGGTGTGAGCCGAATGTTGACAAACTTTTTTGAATCTGTCAAGAAAACTAACCTGTCGTACCAAGAAATAAAACCCAGGGCACCCCATGAAAGCTGAAGTACACAGATTACTCCAATGCCGAAACACACGGTCATACACGTGCATGGAACTGAGCACTTATTATGTAACACTCAATTGCACAAATGTGAGGAGCAACACATACGGTCACATTGTAAATGTATGATTGTATTACTGTATAGTCAGAAACATCGTTGTGAGTTGAGATAATGTGCTACTCCAGTAGATGCACCTAATCCACCTATACTGTATGCGGCGGCATGTTAGCACTCACAGATGGGCTGTGAGAAGGTCATGATCCTGCGCTTAGCCCAGCGATTTCGGAGCGACTCCAGCTCTGCTTTAGAATGCAGAGGGAAGGCTTGGCTGACAAGACCCTTCACCTTGCATTGTGGCACTGTTCAAGCAGAAAACAAGCAAATCCAAAGGTGATCGGCATTCAACACCACGGTAAGGCATACTGAAGTACGTTTTAAATCTCCGGACAGCTAGCTGCTTTATCTTTCTCAGGTCTCATCAGCAGAGCTCAGATTACTTTAGTGAAAGGTATTTGAGTGAAGTTCTAGTGTGTGGCTCTTCGGATCATGTGCTTCATGCTTATGCCCAACTAAAAAAAGCAATTGCATTGAACACACAAGCATACACACACACACACACACACACACACACACACACACACACACACACACACACACACACACACACAGATTATATTTGAGGCTGCAGCGGCATTGCAGACGTTTAAAACTTACAGACGGCCGTTCCAGGGTTAAAGGAATATGTGTCGCACGTCTCGCGTTCCGCTAGCCGAACATTGCTGAGAAAGTATGCAATCATCGCCTGCACTTCACTCGTTGAGAAGAAACTCCTGACCGAGTCAGAGTCTACAAAACATTCCCTGTCCTGTACGGTGAATCGTCGCAACCCTCCACCGAACTCCACCTTGACCTTCTTTTCCAGCATCTTCTCCTCTGCGCCGATCCACATTCCTTCATCTGAGATTCCCACAAGTAGAGCATCCCGTTGCCGGTACGTGAAGCGCAGGGATTCGACCTGCATGTGCATGTGTGCAGGTGTGCATGTGCAAGTAATGCACAGCCAACATACAGTAGGGGTGAACAGAGTCCTTCGATGTACATGTATATAGAATAAGGAAGCTGTGCATTAAGTCACGCAGTCTGTAGTGTCAATGTTGCCGGGGTCTGACATCGCCACACAAGCATAATATGACCGTATGTCACGATGGAGTGATGCACAGAGACAGTACGGACTACCGCCCGCCAGCAAGCGCATGCACTTCGAGCTCAGCAGCAGCCACATTACTCGATGATGTCGACAAGCTACTCTGACACCATAGATTCTCATATTTGAGCCTCTAGATCCGAAAAGGGGGCTTATGTCGTTTGGCGCAGTATTGAGAAAAATGCACTTGAAAGTTGAGTTTTCTGTATAAAGCGATGTATAAAAAATTACTTATTAAAACACCCATAACTCTGTGAAAGATAAAGGTTTTGGACTTACTGTAGAAGTACAAATTTTCGTTCACGAAATCTTTCGTTATTTCACTCCACCAGCCGGCTTATTACGTACAAAATTTCGTTTTTGGTCGAAGTCTGTCACCCCAAACGTTCAGAAAAAAACTTTAGTTTGGTACAAACTTTAGTTATTTCGCGCTCCCTAAAGAATATAGCGAAAGTTAATTCCAAACGAAAATGTGTACTTATACATGTACAGTAGGTTTGTTTACAGAGTGATCAGCTGGGATACAGCAATGTCATGGTATAGATAACTTAAAATGCTCAAAAATTACATAAGCCCCCTTCTAGGATCTACAACTCAGTAAAAAATGCATAAGCTTGTGCTTCCCTAGGTCAATGTACTGAGGGTGAATTGCTCAACGTCGAAGTCCAAACAGACCAAAGCTGCCCGACTTACATGGGATGACAGCGTGAAACCCTTAATGGGGTTCCTCACAAGTACTTCCTACAAAAGCACTGTGCATACAAAGAGGCAATGATGTACAGCCTCGTGACATACGGCAAACCTGACCTGCGCTGCTCTAGCACTATGACCAGTAAGCACAGCAGTGAACACAAATCTCCTGTATTCACTGTGACCATGGTGACTGCGGCGGCAGCGGCCATGCAGCGGCGATTGCAGCCCCATTGTCACATGACCGCACAGCCATGCATCTTTGTCACATGACCACACAGCCATGCAATGATGCAGCACATTGTCACATGATCACACAGCCATGCAGTATACATGGTACAGTCGTCCCTCTCTAATCCGGCACTTGTTTATCCGGAACCCTTGTCAACCGGCGCACTTTCTGACGAAACGGATTTTTTTCGTTCAATTCCTATATCTTAATCCGGCACTTGAATTCCGCCTCCGGCAGTGACTTTTTGAAACGAATCGCTCAAACTGCACGTAGTTTGATGTCATAATCCGGCAGTCGTAAATCGACTGTGCGTGTGTGTGCAAGAGTACGTAAACATGTGAACATGTTCTCTGTTTTACTTTATCACTGTGTATATTCCTGGAGAAAAGTTGAGAATATAAAGCCGTGCACCAAATACTGGGGTCGACACGGAAAACCCTGCGTTTTGACGTATGATACATGCATGCAATCGGGTAGGGCCGGGTCAGAGGGCAGGATTTCTTAATCCAGCACCCTCGTTAATCCAGCAGAAAATGCCGTAGCAAAAGGTGCCGGATTAGAGAGGGACGACTGTATAGGGTTAGTGCTGCTCACTGGTCTTACAATCAATTCAGGTGCATCCTTTGCAATCTTGGCCTGAATCCACTTTTGCATCTCCGGGCTGGCCTTCCGCTTGAATGCAATCACCACAGAAAGGGACGAATCAAGCGAGGCATTGTCCATGAGGCCCTGATAGGTCTTGAAGTCAGCACGCACCTGGGTATCCACCAAACAATCAGAATGCGACACATGGACAGTTTTCAGGCAATCACATTAGTGGACATGATAAATATCAGCATATCAAAGCCTGGACTTGTCCCACATAGACTTCAGCTTGTACACTCTACTAGGTAGTCCTGCCTTGAAACACAGCACATGTACTGGTACACCACACACTACTAGTATGAGCGACGTAGTGCTTGTTTCCCGTAAAACAGGGGTAGCAAAGCGCTATCATCACTAGCCAAAGCGAAGCCAAGTGAGACGGGGGGGGGGGGGGGGGGGGGGAACATGATCATGCTGTTGTTTGCCATTATCTACCGTAGTAAGCACAGGAACCAAAACCAATATGTGAGCCAGGTGTGCTAATTGAAACACGAATGGCGGTTGCCAGGAAAGAAAAGAAGCCTCGCCTCGTTCACAGTACGGCCCAGATAATAACCAGTGAGAAGACATTCGATTCCTATTGCAGAAACTCCGTGCCTTGGGTTCATTTATAGTCAGAATGTGGCAAGGGTTGTGAGTGGTATGGCGTGTTACTGACTATAAAAATAGGGACCATACATACAATGTAGGACCAAGAGCTTCGCCATCGGACAGCAGTTTGCTATGCTGCTTTACCTACGGTGACCGTGTACTAGTATTACCATGCATCTGTTGTAAAATACTTGAACACATCTAAGTACACGTCCAACCGTGCACACACTGAGCACACACTGAGCACACACTGAGCACACACTGAGCACACACTGAGCACACACTGAGCACACACTGAGCACACACTGAGCACACACTGAGTTCTTCATAATAATATACATGTACATGTCAGGAGCACCGGAACTGCAGTTTTCAATTGGTCCGGTCGTACCATAGACTTTCATACGTTGTGTATAATTTGGCGGGACGCATGCCCTCCTCAGCTTTGGTAGCTACAAAAGTTGGTCCGTGTTAGCCTGACCAACCGGACCGGTCCTGGCCCTGCCTGCATGTGCTATAGTGTAGGAAAGTATCCATGGAACTAATTACTTGCAAGCTACAGGCCCATGTAATGACATATGTGCTGAATGGGATTCATGGAAGCTACAGGACCATGTGCTGAAAGGGGATGATACACACGATCGATGGCCTCATGTTTGTAGTGTATATGACTTGTATACTACATTGTAGAAAGGAAAAGGACATAATGGTCTTTCTACTTTTATTATTGGCTCAATACCCGAGTTTCATACTACATTGTAGTAATAATTGATTTCGTTGCACATGACTGTAGATGTTTACGATCGACTTGAGCTTGAGTCCACTGCACATAATTATGTACATGGTACTCATCACTCATTCATTCATCTGCAGGGGCACCAACAACGCAACAGGCGCGTTGCGCGCTAAATACTATACTGAAAACTGATAATCCGAGTTCACCAGAGTTTACCGGAACCCATAGACCATATCGAGACCTAAGAACTAAGCCTTGAGTAGAATAATTGTTGCTGATCTGATCGCTTCAGATTGATCTTGTCCATTACATGCATAGCCAAAAGTTATTTTCTACAATTTGATCTAGGCCCTCCCAAGACACCTGCCTTGGAAACCGTGCGTCCCACAGCAGTTGGTCGAATCGACGACCAGAGATTGTCCAATGCCCGCTGTTGCAACTCCGATTGCGTGTGCTTCAGGCGCCTGCGCCAGGATGAGTCCATAGTCGATCGAACGTAAGTAAAATCGTTCAGCAACTGTATTGTGATGATTATTTTCAGTTCACAGGCATTTCTCCTTCTTGCACACACAGCAGTACAGTACGTGTGCCACCGACTACAAAAATACCGTAGTCACACTGCTGAACGATTTGAGGGTGTTGGTTTCGCGATTTCCTCACTTGAAAACAAGGTGCTACTGCCCTGGCTAATGCTGTACGTACCTGTCGTCAAACCAGTGCCAGTGGCAGAGTATCGACAGTTGCCCGGTAGATCTACATCATACATGATTCATTGATTGATGTACTACGCAACAGCATGATTGTACTACATAGTCATTGTACAGCTAGCTAGTGCTGGCAACTGGAATCACGGACCCCCCCCCCCCGGCCCCTGGCCTGAGCGGTGGGTTCACATAGTCATTCCAGCGGTCTCTGTTTCGTAGTTTTATCATCCCGTGTTGGGTCTTTGCGATGTGAGCGCAACGCTCAGGGGGTCGATCGGATTTCAGTTGCCAGCACTGTAGCAGTAGTACTAGTACTACGAGTAGTAGTAGCTGTACAAAAAATGTACTGTACGTATCGCGACCAATGGCTATGGCCTACCGCTAGAGACTACACCTTGCTCAACCTCGTTACCTCACACATCCGTTTCCCACAAAAAGATCCGGATAGGCGAGGGAACCAGATAACCGAACACCTATTATTAAGTATTATGTTGGATGCATCGCGCATGCTGTAAATCTGTAACCAGCTATTTTCTTCCTGATGGCGAGGGATCCGGATAAAATAGGACCGGATAAGCAATTTCTGACTGTATTACTGTAGATCTAGAACTACACGTGACGTGGATCCACTTGGCTGGCCTGTAGGCTGTAGCTGCACTCGCTGCGCTAGGGTCCGGCGGATTCTGCCGGCAGAAAAATTTGCAGAATTCGGTACTTTTTCTGGTACCGTATTTTCCGGAGTATAGTGCACACTTTAGATGTGCTATTTTAGGCCCTAAATCGCAGGTGCGCACTATGCTCCGAATATGAAATGCATGTACTTCAATGAAGATTGAAGTTCGCACCCCCAATGAAGATTGGGGGTGCGCGTTATACAAAGGTGCGCACTATACTCCGGAAAATACGGTAAGTTTCATGCATGTTTGGTACATGTACATGTACATTGTATGTGGATAAAGAAATGGAGCAGAATTCGAGGAATTGCTCGCCATAAGGTTTGTGTGGTTCTGCCAATTTCACTGCTTTTCGAGCAGAATCTGCCACCTTTTCGAGCAGAATCTGCCGGTCCCTACTACTTCTGAAGTAACTAATAGCTAGCTAAAAAACCACTCTCGGAAGTCTGAAAAATCTACTAAACTTTACCCAGAAGCTCTACCTGTCGAGAGATCTCCTACTCAAAGCAATGGCCAATGTCATGCGTTCGAGAAAGAGTTAAAGGGGAAGTATAGCCTAAAATCAAATTTTCAACAGACCATTTGACTCAGCACCCCAAAGACTACAACAGTTGTAGTCTTCGGGGTGCTAAGTCAAATGGTCTTGGTCCGAGGAAGCTGAGACGCTCCCGTCCTCCTTTTTCCCCAATCGAACTCGCGCACTTCCACCGAAATTGGGTGACTGCGCCCTACTAGATGGGGATTTGAATGCAAAAAGTCCCTAAAAGCGCCATTCCCTTCTTACATGTATATGACGGATGACCGCGATTGGTCCATATTTTGTAGTCTTTTGGACGCTGAGTCGACTGACTTTGGTCCGAAAAGGCTGCGATGCAACGTTCGGCCCTTATTCCCAATCGAACACGGGTGAGTAAGCAGTCACGTGCTCATGCATACACCAGTCGCCTGGTCACCGTGCCTGCAAGCTACAACTTTCACACCAAGGTTCAACTCAAAGGTTCAAAGGTTCAACTCGAGTGACAGGAACGCTGTAAAAGTTATAGCCTGCAGGCACGGTGCGGTGACCAAGTGACTGGTGTATACATGAGCACGGGACCGCTTACTCACCCGTGTTCGATTGGGAATACTGAAGGGCCGAACGCTGCATAGCAGCCTTTTCGGACCAAAGCCAGTGTTGAGTCGAATAGTCTTGGTCCGAGGAAGCTGAGACGCTCCCTTCCTCCTTTATTCCCAATCGAACTCGCCACTTCCACCAAAACTGGGCGACTGTGCCCTACTAGATGGGGATTTATACAAAAGGTCACTAGAAGCGCCATTTCGTTCATATGAAAGCACGGATGAACGCAATTGGCCGATATGTTGTAGTCTTCTGGACGCTGAGTCGACTGGTTTTGGTCCGAGAAGGCTACGATGCAACGTTCGGCCCTTATTCCTAATCGAACACAGTTGAGTAAGCGGTCACATGCTCGTGTGTACACCAGTCACTTGGTCACCGTGCCCACAGGCTACAACAGCCTGTTTGGGCACGTTCCTGTCACTCGAGTTGAACTGTTGAACTTTTGAGTTGAACCTTGGTATGAAAGTTGTAGTTGTAGTAGTTTTTCTGGTATCTTTCATGCATGTTTGGTATGTGGATAAAGAAATGGAGCAGAATTCAAGGAAATGCCTGTCATAAGGTTTGTACAGTGAGTTCTGTCAATTTCACTGCTTTGCAAACAGAATCTGCCAATTTTCTGAGCATTATCCGCCAAGGGCTGCCCCAAACAGCTGCTGACTGTCAAGTGTTGACACACTGGATCACACCGTCGTAATCAGGGAGTTGTAAAATACCGTATTTTACGACTCCCTGGTTGTAATCTCATACATGTACATGTAGATCTGATTACAGGCAGAAAAGCAATCATCCGGCGTGGGCTAGGTGGGCGGTGGGCTGCAACCAAACAGTGTTGAAGCTAGGCAACTGTGTAGGCAACCTAGCACTAAAACAGGGCCAACGCAGAATACCCTGTCCATAACCCCCCCCCCCGTACAGTAGATACACAGTGTAGCTGGGGTGATCTACTCTGCCCACTGCCCAGTCAAGATAACACAGCGGGAACAAGACGGTCAGAACTGTCAGAACTAATCCGTGCCATATTAAGGTACCTCAAACCTCTTAAAATTGACCGAAGAATGTCCGTTTGTTTGCTTCCAACTCGAAGTTTGGGTTGTACATGGTCAAAAATGGTATTCACACTGGGGATACTTAGGGTGCGTTCTTATATTCTCTAGCTTCTCTAGCTTTTCGCATGCGCTGATCCCAAACCGCGGGAATCTCCAAGTTTCAACCACCTCTGAAGCTTGGAGAGCTTGGAGAGCTTTGGAGAGCCTCCTAAAATTCGGAGAGGATATAAGAACAGCTCTCGAACTTTTCGGAGAGTCTCCAACCTTAGGGTGCGTTCTTAAGTCCTCTCGGAAAAGTTGGAGTGACTCTCGGAAAAGTTCGAGAGCTGTTCTTATATCCTCTCCGACTTTTGAGCCCGCAGCAGGATACACTGCCACAGGAGGAGGCGGACAACACCAAGGCAGCCAAAGCTAAAGCCAGGGCAGAGGCCAGAAAGACGGAGCAGCGTCATGCCAAGGAGGTGTACGATGGCGTGGATGGAGACCTGCAGAGGTCCATGGATCTTGCGGCTGAAAAGGGTGCGTCGAACTGGCTCACCTGTCGACCACTCAAGCATCATGGGTTCTCGCTACACAAGGGCGTGTTTCGAGATGCTGTCTGCCTCGGCTACGGGTGGACTCCGCCCCACCTCCCCCAGAGCTGTGCCTGTGGAACTGCCTTCACTGTCCCGCACGCCTTGTCTTGCCCAGTAGGTGGCTATCCGTCTCTGCGGCACAACGAGCTGCGGGACTTGACCGCTACCATGCTCACATCAGCAGCTCATGATATCAGCATTGAGCCACGCCTCCAGCCGTTATCTGGTGAGAATTTTCATCACCGGACGGGTATCCGTGAGGATGGTGCCAGGCTGGATGTTGCTGCCAGCGGGGTATGGGGTGGCCGGTTTGAGCGAGCTTTCTTTGATATTCTGGTGTTCAACCCTCATGCTCGCTCGAACTCGGTCCACTCCATCCCCGCCGCATACGCAACTTGAGCGTGAGAAGCGTCACCATTATGCTGAGGAGCGTGTTCGCGAGGTGGAGCATGCCACCTTCGTTCCCCTCGTATTCAGTGCCACCGGAGGCCAAGGCAAGGCGGCAACTGCCCTTTACAAGCGGCCTTACTCCATCACAATGGCATGGATCACATGCAGGTTGGGGTTCGCCCTTCTTTGCTCGGCCATTCATGATGGCCCTCCGAGGGCACCGGTCCCGGACTGAGTTGCAGTAGCTCAACCATCATCGACCGAACTGGTGGCTGCTGAGTGCAATTTGCATTTCTGAACTGTGGCATGTGCGTAGCACTCAAACAAACAAGTACGCACTTTTTATTTTTTATTTTTTTTATATACTATGTGCACATCCCTACAAAGTAATAGGGGTAATAAAAGAGACAAAGACAACAAAGGAGTAGTAGGTGCTACAAGAGCTGTGCTGGTCAGGCGCAGTGCACTCCTCCGACCATTTCGGTCTCGGAATCGACATGGACTGTGCGGGCCAAGGGGGCATACTATGAATGATAGACTTATGGGAGCATCTGAGAATGCAACAGAAATGAGAAAGAGAAGATCAGAAAAAAACACAAATGCAAATAATATAGGTTGATCATGCTTCAGCTTCACTCAAGTTCACTGCACTGACTGTCTTTAAAAAAGCTTTGTAATTATTCTTATCACTGTAAAAAAATTTTTTTAACCGGAAGCATAATAATTATGAGGATTTTGCGAGCATAATGCAAGAATCCATGAAAGTAATTCCATGATTTCGTGAGCATAATCCGCCGGAGCCTACAATGTCAATGTAGTAATATACCACGCCCAAGCCAAGGTATGTGTTATAGCCTATATATGTAGGCCCCAGCGGCAAATGCTAGCACCCAAAGTAGCATAAAAGGGCCTTTTTGTGACTCCACACGATGCTAGCATAAGGCCGAGTAAAAAAAATTACTAGATGATCGTCCTTTTTTTTGGAAAAATCGGGGAGGGCGGGAGGATTTTATTTTTATTTTTTTACTTTTTACCCTCTCATGCACACAGTGTACACAACAACATCAAGGTTTTTTTTCTCTTTTTTTCTTTTTTTTTCTTTTTTTCTTTTTCTTTCTTCAGCAGATCGATACTGACGTTGTGATATACTAGTAGTATGTGGTCCACATAGTAAAGAAAGTATTAAACAAAGCGTGCACATGTTTCCTGCATCCGCGATCGGTAAAAAACCAACGATTTCGGCAAAAACTCACGATTTAAAAAATAAAATATTTCTTGGGGCGCTGACAAAAACTGGGGCGGACGGGGACGATCATCTAGCTTTTTTTTTTACTTGGCCTAAACAGCAGTTTTTACCGGCATCCGATACATTTTTGCCAATTTTGGCATTCTGGATGTGGAATTCGGTCTAGATTACACTATGAAACTAGTATTACGGTACTACCACATTGATAATTGCATGCACTACATTCAATTTGTTTGCATTACCTAGTTGTGACCAAGACCCACATTGCCATTGGTACTTCTTGGTATTTGCTCTTTTGTATTGCAAATATTTCCATAGCAACATGATGCCAACATCGCACCTTTAAAAAGTCTTCTTACATACCTGCTTTGTGAGAATTCATAAATAGCACGGAACACCGTTTTCAACCCAAATGTTTCACCCAAATGTACAGATTATCGCCCATTTGTTCGTTCATGCTTAACCTTTCTAGGGGCTCCCGTAAGAAGACCATAGGTCTGTGGGAAACACCCTAGTAAAATAAATAAAATAATAATAATAATAAAATGTTTCACCATTACCAAAATAGGTAGCATAATTCGTGTTGTCTAGCATCCAAACTAGCATCTTTCTGAGTTGTCAGCTAGCATCCCAAAAAGCATCTTGGCAACATTTAGCTAACTGCGGGTCCTAGCGCGGTCCTAGCGGAATCTACGATTAATTGTCACTCGTACGTATGTAATCAAGCACGCTCAGGAGGTCATGATGGCTGAATCTTGCCCGAGCCTGCAGCCCAAGGGCAAGATTCAGCCATCATGACAGACAGAGCGTGCTTGATTTGATTTCTTACATCGCGAAGCAACATACTGTATTAGGGAAGGTCAAAGGTCGAAAGGTCGAAAATTTATTCCCGAAATGACGTCAAACGGTCCGAACATTCCCGAAATGACGTCAAACGGTCCTGATGAAACTCCCGAAATGACGTCAAACGGTCCTGATGGCCTGATTATGCCCGCGGCGGGAAGATCGCCTATTGGCCATGGCCCCGGCAACGATCACGTGTCATGTAAGAATCGTAGATCTACCACATATGTACGCTCGAGCGCTCGTCTACATGCTGCACTTGCACTTGCACTTGCGCTGTGCATAGTGACCATGGTGACCACTGCACTGGCACGGGTGACCGCGTACCGCGCCGGTCGACCGCAAAGGTGCTATGTCGTCATCGGGTTCTCTGCACATGCACGGGTTCGCGCGCTCGCCGTAGATCTACTCAGCTCAGGTACTCTGCAAGGATAGCAACCGTTGCATGCTGGGTTTTCAGCGTCATGACTTGGCCTTGGGTCATCTCTTCGCATGAAAGCCTGGCTGCTTGTGATATGAGATTTTGTCATGTTCTAAGTTTTGATCCTCCATTTCCTCACGTTCACTTCGGATAACAGTATCAATTTTGCCCGAACAAGAGGCTTGCTGAGTAGTATTGTACGGAGTGGTATGACTGTATCAGTGTCGGCAGTGGCAGTGAGGCTTCCTCCAGCTTCATTATTTAGGAAAACGCTGGCGAGCTGCAAGTAATGAGTGACGAGGCGGCAAGTGGACCGACACCGAACGGGGAGAAATCCGAAGAAGAAGGGTCCAAATCCACTGTGGTGAGTCTGGACTGTCCTGTTGACAAGATTTGAAAGTTGACACGGTTGCGTTTTGTGGCTAGACTTCATGAGACGCCAAGGAAGACTCACCCGCACGTCGTGACACACATGCACACATATGCACACACACGCACACATACACACAAATCACAATCATGCACATTCACAGAGCCACACACACGCACACACATACACATACCCCTATGCACACACGTCCAATGCACTGCCGTAACCTGGTCATGACTCCGTGTGAGGCAACTCCCTCTCCAGTCTCACTGACATGTGTGGTAGTGCCTTGGTGACTGTCAATAAAACTGCAACTGTAGGATGTATTTTACTGACGGGGCCATACATGTATCACTATGATTGTACGTGTAGCATACATGTATCACTATGATTGTACGTGTGGCAAGTACACCGGCAGAACTCCTTGATCTCTGACTGCACACACTGCTGGTTTTGTGATGGCTTGTCAGAACTGAGTGAGTGTTGCACTGACCCACTGACTATGACCACAAGTACATGCATGTAGTACAGTGTGAGAGGACTCCAGGAGTGTGTCGCCAGAATCATTGCCCTCGGTCAAACGTCATCAAAGCACGGCATGATGTAGCTGGTGTGAGAAAGGCAACGTTTTGTATGAGCATATTGGCGAACATTGCGGACGGCCCTTTGCCAACAATTGCTGTGCATGGGCTGTCCGTACTCAACATATGACGTGTAACGTAGCACCAAGAGTCCATAAACAAGAGTATGAAACTATGATCTCTTTTCTATGGGCCAGATGCGCGGTGCACTGCCTTCATTACATCACTCAGCTGCAGTGTGCGAATTGTGGAAAATCAAACACCTCACTTTCCCTCTGGTTTGAAATGAAATTTCGTACGGAACTGGAGTTCACGCGCCAAAATTTAGAGATGGCGTAGGTACTGGAAGGAATCGAGCAAAACCGGATGGGCTCATACAAGAAATTGTGAGTTTGAGTGCATGCTTTCAGAGCGTGATGGAGGCAAGTTACTTAATAAAGGCAGCGCACCGCGCACTGACCCATAACCACAGCTGCATACTCTTGTTTATGCACTATTGATAGCATGGTACAGACATGTAGATTGTGTTTGGGTAACTTGCAATTGTAATTTTTTTTATGCTTGGTCATTTGTGGATACCGGTAGGTAGGTAGGTAGGTGGGTAGGTAGGCTGTACTAAAACACTTCTTTACACTTTTTCAGGTACAGTCAAACCGCGTTAGGACGAACACTGATAAGGCAAACTTTCCTTTAGTACGAACTAGAGCCAATCCTATGGTTGGCCAGGCATCGTATCAAGTCAAATATTCGTTTACGACGAACTCCTGTACGGCGAACTTTCGTGAAGACGAACTATTTTCAAGCGTGATTTGAACAAAACCAGCGTGTGGTACGAACTTTCGGTCCCGATGGGTACGCTGGCTGTAGTTTTTTTTTCCGATAGTCGAGGCCTCTTGTACTGGCAAAACATGTTACAACTTACAAGGCGGAGGACATGCTGTCATGAATTTATTGCACATTTACGTTCCGCCAGAACGTGGGTGAAAATCAGAATGGAGCGCATTGTGCAAGCCGTGTGAGGATGCTCAGCTGAAGAAGTTTCCGAACCACGGAATCAAATATTCGATGAGCTTCGTCTTTGGCCAAGTTTGGACCTTTCGCTTCATGATTTTGTTTGTTCCGTGTGACTAAAACAGCATTGCGAACGTGGGTCCATTGCATGAACTTTACGTCTATCACCCACGTTTCCGCATCCGTTACGTGGGACTAAACTTCCTAATGATGACATGCAACAACTTGAACAGGAGTCCTAACTCCTAACCAGGGAGCCCTCACACGAATAAACTTCAGCGAGCAAATTTTGCGTTTTCAATGGATTGCTTTGGTTCACAATGAGAACATTTCGCAATTTTATCTGTTCGGGTGAACCATGTTCTGTCCATAATCAATGTGCAGACCAGTTTGTGGCGATTTTTATTATGATGGTCGCGAAAATAGCAAAATTTAATCTCTAGCAAACGTTTCTCACTTTACAGTACACGTGCAAAAAATTATAATATGGCTGACATTGTGGGTGGACAGTGACAGTGTGTAGCTCCAGCTTGGAAGTGTGTAGCTCCAGCTTGGAAGTGTGTAGCTCCAGCTTGGAAGTGCCTGCATCAAACTCTTTGTTCAGTACAGTACTCTCTGGTCAGTCCATGTGTTGCTGCTGGTGCTGGCGGTGGTCAGTCGTATGCTGGCACAGGGTTGCACTTACACAACATGTGTGTGTGTGTGTGTGTGTGTGTGTGTGTGTGTGTGTGTGCGCGCGTGTATGTGTCTGTGTGTGTGTGTGTGTGTGTGTGTCTTCTCACCGTGCTGCTGAGGATTTTCTGGTTGTTTTCTGTGAAGTAGCGGCTTCGTTTGGTCTCTCCGTCAGCATCCCCAAAATGAAGTTTATCATTTCGGGTCATTTTGCTTCTGAGGCGGATTGTGCTCCCATCCTGGTTGCTGGCGACCAAGTCAAATGTGTACCGTCTTTTGTTTATCTCGGAAGCGTCATCACACCTGGCACCAGGTTTCGCCACGGCGTTGCTCGCTGTGTTGCTAACGGCGCTAGGCATTTGGTCCAGAGTACATAAAGTAGAGTGTGCAACTGTGCACATCAGATCTGAAACAGCGTAGTTCGTGCACTACGTCACCCTGACGAGGTCAGCCAAGCCGCGACTTGCGTACAGCTCAAATTTCCATGTTTCATAGCCCGGAAACCAGCCAAATTTGCTTGATTTTAGACGTCCAGTTTCAGGATTTCGGTGGTTTGTGTGACTGTGTACGCTGCGTACATCCACCGACAAGTAAAGTCACCAGGCTATCCGTATCAAAAAACCGAAATCAGGACAAACTCAGTGACCTGCACCACCGCGACTGGTTGCGCAACTTTTCACCGTACCTGTGGATTACCATGCCGTCAGAAATGACGTACTGCACGAATTACGCTCCCACAGGAACCATCCCGAGTTGCACACTCTGGTTATGTACTCTTGATTTGGTGCATTGTTGGAGGTGTTCCGTGATTCCACATTGTCTCTGTCCACCAAGAGACATTTGTATTCTGCCTGTGTCGTGTCGATACTGCTGTACGGTGCTGAATGTTGGACCCCACTCCAAGCCGATCTCAGATGTATTGACACCTTCCACCATCGATGCTTGTGGGCTATCATTGGTTTGTCCAGAACCGCTCAGTAGAACGAGCACATCACCTCTCAGCAGCTGCGGGATCGGTGGGAGATCCCATTGCACTATCGCAGAATATCCGGCATCGGCGCCTCGAATGGCTTGGTCACGATGTACGCCTTGAACCTGAACGTTCGCCGCGTCAGCTCCTGTTTGGATCCCTGGAAACGACCCGGCCTGCCCATGGCCCTCGTCGGCGCTGGAAAGACGTGTTGTGTGGTGACCTCCAACATCTTCCAAACTGATTTGACATTGCCTCAGAGAGGTCTGAATGGCGCCAGTTTGTGCATGCACCACCTTCACCGAAGCCAGCACCTTCTCGCATGGAATGCACCATAACATGCCATAGAACATTTGCATCATATTGAAGTGTACCGCTGAGAAGAGGATGCCCATCCATCTTCAACGTGATGTACTTCAATGCGATATCTGCAGCAGATGGTTTTCCAGCGCTGGAGGCCGTGCCGTCCACAGGTGCACCTGCAGCACGGCTAGCACCCAAGCTTGCCCACCCCCGTCCAGCCGAGAGTCAATTCTCCTGGACAGTGGCAAACTCCAATGCTCAATGTGTCAACGCCATTTTTCGCCATTTCGAATGACACAAATGCAGCCATTGCAGTCGCCCTACTTATAAACAGAGGGAAACCTTCGAACATGAGTGCCAGCTCTGCAACAAATGTTTTCGGCTTCCAGCTTCCACGAGATCTCAACCGGCACATGGCTTGCCGGCATTGACTCTCTTACCCTGACCCTGGCTCCCTGTCACAAGGGAGTGACGTGGCCCTATGGGGCAGTCATGCTATAGTAGTAGTAGAGTTTCATCTCTTGTATCTTTGGTGTTCTTCCTTCTTTCCATGCCGCATTGACGGAATAAACCAGTTTTGTGATGAGACATATTGTAGTAGTGTGTGTGTGTGTGTGTGTGTGTGTGTGTGTGTGTGTGTGTGTTAAAGACAAAATTGCACATCGGCGGTTGGAGTGGTTGGGGCATGTGGCGCGGATGCCGGACAACCGCATCCCAAAACAGGTACTGTTTGGCTCCTTCTTGCAGCGTCGCCCAGCACATGGCCCACGCCGCAGATGGAAGGACTGTGCTGTCCGAGATCTACGTGCCCGTGGCGTGGAGGCATCATGGTATGATGTTGCATGTGAGTCTCGCGCGGAGTGGCGCAGCACCTACCAAGAGCCTGACAATGTGCCTGAGCCTCCGCCCCGAGTGGTATGTACGGTATGCGGACGGGATTTTGCACGGAAAGGAGACATGGCTCGGCATAAGTGTCTGGAGGAGCGTGCGCGGCCTGTGTCTGAGCAGCGGGGCGCCAGTCAGTGCGGGCGGTGTGGGCGGTGGCTGAGAAGCCGCGGTGGCTTGGTCCGGCATGTGTGTGCCTCAACGGTGGATGCCGCAGTGCCACCTGGAACTACCGGAGCGTCGGCACCGGCGGAGGGATGTTGTGCCGCGCATTGTGACAGGTGTGGTCGCTGCTTTCGCGGTGTCCGGGGACGGGGAAGGCATCGCTGTTCAAGGGTGGCTCATAGACCAACAGCAGAGGAGCGCTCAGCCTTCCAGCACGTGTGCATATGCGGCAAGCGGATGCGACTACCCGTGCACCTGGAGCGTCATCGAGCGTCGTGTCCTCTCTCTCTCTCTTCTCAAGTTTCCCAGTGATGGGATCACGTGACCCTTTTGCGGCAGTGACTCTACAGGACAGGTGTGTGTGTGTGTGTGTGTGTGTGTGTGTGTGTGTGTGTGTGTGTGTGTGTGTGTGTGTGTGTGTGTGTGTGATTTCACGTGATAGACAGAGCACTGTGCGCTGTCGGCAAGAGTACATAACCCTGTGTACATAACCCTGTGCACTCTTGCTGTTGGCCGTGTCAGGTAGCATGTGCTCCGGCACTGTGTTGTCCCATTAGTCCACCTATACTAGCCTGCTCGGCAGATCCAGCACCGTTAAATGGAACTGACCCTTGCTCTCACTGCCTAGCATGTATATCATGTGCTATGTGTGTGTGTGTGGGGGGGGGGGGGGGGGGTGTTAGCATGCAGGTATGTGCTGTGTGTGTGGGGACTGTTGTTGTTTCACTGGCAATGGCGTTGGACGAGTACTTGTGATTGTTTTCTAACCGCACTCTTATTTTCTTTGTGCCTGCAGGAAGCTGCAGATGCTGTGCAGTCCAATGACCAGCCCGAGCACAATGAGGAAAAAACGGAGGGGCCTGAGGAAGGGTGTCAATACCAGGAAGAAAAGCTCGGCATAAGCATCCTGAGTCATCATGAAATCTGCCGTCGAGCATCATCAGCAAGCGAGGGCAACTCATGTGCTGCTGCTGCTGCAATGTCATCTGATGAGGATGTGCAGCGGCAGGCCAATATGAGTCTGGGTACCCCAGTAAACCTAAAGAAGAAGAAAATCCCTGGCAGAGAGACAACCAGCCTACTCAGCTCATCATCAGCACGCTCGCTTTTCTTCTTCAAAAAGTCGTCCAGCATTCACAAGATTGGTCACTATCGCAACAAATATGGTGTTACGACTTACAAGGAGGTGGGTTTGTGGTACCAGTGTTGTGGTACCAGTGTTGTGGTAGCAGTGCAACTATGAACAACTGTTACACCATGTGTAGCTAATACTTCTTGCTTTCTCCTTCTTTCTTCTTTTGGCCATGTCGGTTGTTGCAATTCATGACGCTTTTCAGAAATTGTTATGTCTGGGTGGGTGGTAGGGGTAGGGGAAGATGGTGGTCGTAACATGGCTTCCATTGCCTCCATTGAAGGAAATCAGCAGACATGTGTGAAGTGCAGCCCTAGAAAATATTGGTCTGTTGTGATGTAGGGTACTGTGTGTGTGCGTGTGTGTGTGTGGGGGGGGGGGGGGGGGGGGGCTAGACCGGCTAATACTGGACTGTGCATTGTGTGTCTCCTACTGTACGAAAAAGTGTGTGTGTGTACGCTTGTGTGCGTAAGTGTGTATGTGTGTGTGAATGCATGTGTGCGTGTGCATGTGTGTGTGAATGCGTGTGCACATGTGCATGTGTGTGTGAATGCGTGTGTGCATGTGTGTGTTCTTGTGCTCTTGTGTTTTCATATTGTTCTTGCAGACACCCACCAACACACTCATGTGTTCTATACAGCTTGGTCTACATAACTCGGTAAGCTAAGCAGTCTGTCAATCTTAGTGCGGAAAGCTTCCGGAGATGTTTGCACCTTGTGCCCTGGCCCGTGATTTTAAAATATTTAAACTGGCAAACCGGCATGTATGTTCTGAGATTATTTGCACTATGTCACATGGAATGCTGCAGTGGCAAGTGAAGTCCTACCTTGATCACAGATTTACAAGCTGTCCAATTTAAATGGCTGTACCACTATGTTAGTTTCTGTTTGACACCAGTGTTTTGCAATGTATATAACACTCGCAATGCTCTAAGGCTGTGTTTACATGAGGCGTTTCAACCCGGGTTGAGTTCGACCCGGGTCAGATTTCAACCCGCCATGTACACAAAATGAATGGCGCGTTTACATGACGCATTGCGCTTGACCCGGGTTGAAATTTCGCCCCGGGTTGATTTCAACCCTCCCCTTGGGGGGAGGGTTGAAATCAACCCGGGTCAAGAAAATCGTACAAACATACTTCTGTGCGTATCTCGTGCCAGGTTTGAACAGCACTGCATATGCAAATTTCGCGCGAACGGATTCACGTGACCATACAGGACTTTTATCGAAGTGGACTTTTGGCGGCATATCAGTATTCGACCCGGGTCAACTGTCTTCATGTAAACGCTCGCCTATTTTGTCTATCGTACAGACTTTCAACCCGGGCTGAACTCGACCCGGGTTGAAATTTCTCATGTAAACACAGCCTAACCCTGCAGAGGCTATGTGTTGTATTTGCACAGATCGGTGGTCTTGCATCAAAGCCCATTCTTGACTTACTGATGGTGCACTTCAACGCCATCGACAGTCAGGATTTTCCAACGTAAGTCTTAGGGACAGTGCATATATCACTATGCACAACTCTTCTTTGCTGCTCACCCATGCATGTATGTACATGTAGGTTGTAACACTTCTATTACAAGTATAATGTGAGCTACGTTACTGCTTTAGGCAATCATTTTTTATATCTATGTTTCGCGTCAGTTCAACTTCCAGAATCATATGCGAGAGGTGGAAAGAAATAAAAAGTCGCAAAATATAAAAAAAGGCTCATCATCAGAGGTGTATAGCACTGTACATACAATTGTCAATAGCTCTTGCATGGTGTACCATGGTGTACATTCGAAAGAAAAATCGTACATCGAAGCACAAATCTGGGTTATCAGCAAGAGGAAATATTCACTTTGGACAGAGGAGGCAACCGTTGGTGCCCATGCTTCGCTGGATTATTGTACTCAGCCTTCAGCAGCGGTGCAAAAAGCTCCGAAACGACGCATCCTCTCAGCTTGAGGCGATCGATGCGGTCTGGTGTAAGCTCAAAGAATTCTGCTCGCAGATGCAGAACAAACGATCTATCAACGCTGGCCCCGAGGCCAATTCTGAATCCCAGGTTCGCCGTATGCAACCAGTCCACACTGATGATTCGTACGATCGTACACTCACTGTGCATGTTCGATTTTTTATTTTTTCCGAAAAAATCAAACCGTATGCGTGCGGACGACGCGAAATATAGATATAAAAAATAATGGCCTTATAGACAGATAATAAATATGTTGCTCACATACAACCAAGGATTGAAAACACTGTATGGCTGTGACTTAGAATTTTGTCAATAGTATGCAGGTGCTGCCTTCAGTACGAACTTCAGTTCTGTATGAAGTTGGTGTCAAACTACAGGGAAAGTGTGGTGTTTGATGTTCTTCAATGCACGGATGTAGCTGCGTGATGAAACGAAGGCAGCGTGCCGTGCATCAGGCCCATTGAAAGGAAATTACAGTCGCAGTCTCTCTGCTATGGCCTCTTGGTTTCAGCTTTACAAGGTTTAACTCTCTCCCTCTCTTTCTCTCTCTCTCTCTCTCTCTCTCTCTCTCTCTCTCTCTCTCTCTCTCTCTCTCTCCCTCTCTCTCTCGTAATATGCTGCTCTGTATGTTTCTCTCTGTAGTGTGGGTACTTCATTCACACCTGCCCATGACTATGGTGACTTCACATTCAAGACGTATGCACCATTGGCATTTCGGTAAGGCCACTGACAAATGCTGCCAATCTCGTACATGGTTGTGCTGCTATTTATGGTTACTGCTCATGTCGCTCTGTTCAACATACCCAACCTACCCACAGGCATAGGTTTGGGATGTGGGGAGAGAGGGGGAGGGGCAATCATTGTGAAATGTTTATGCTTCCATGTTTGCATGAGTACCGTAAAGTACCGCCAGAGCGCCCGTCTCGCGAGAGCGCCCCACCTTGATTTTACAGCCAAGGGAAGAAAATCGTATGGCAGAATGCTACTAAGTTTGTACGATGTGAGAACCTTCGTGTACTAAGGTCACACTTGGTATGCTTTTTATGTAGAGCTCGAAGGTAAACTGGGTACGGATTGACTGCACAATGTGCAATGTTTGTACAAGGTCCGTGTCGTATGACCTACAGACAGGAATCCACCTCCACAAGGCGACCACGAAAGGACGAGATGGTGGGGCGCTCTGGCGGTACTTTACGGTAGTACTTCAACTCGAAGTAATTTGGTATTCTTCAATCACAGCAACCACAACAACAATATACGAACAAATTTCAAACTAAAATAGCAAGGTTTAAACGACCTCTGGTTTTAGCGACCACCTGCTTTTCACGACCGTTTTTCCTTGCACGGATAGTTCTACACAGAAACTACACTGGATACAGTGACCACCTGCCTTGCACGACCAATGACTGACTTTTAGTGTGCCAAGTGCCATATCTGACCTGCATACAGCGACCAAAACTAGCCAAAAGTGCTATCCTGGCTGGCAGGCTTGACTACAACAGCGTTGAAGTGGGCTCAGAAGAGAGTACATGCAGTCAAGAGAAAAATGAAAAGTGACAGTGCAGGGTGTGCTGCATGCACTGGAGTGAGGTGTGGCACTTGTGGGTGCTTTGCCTGCACGAAAGCGTTCTATGCTCTACACCTGTCAATATGAGTACGGTAAAAAAGAAAATGAAAAAAAGTACCATTGATCCGTCCCCCGCGCCGTGTCGCTTCCCAGCTGGTTCTTCGGCAGGGGGCGGGAATTAGATCAAGTCGATCGAGTGCAGTACGACATAAAGCAGAAGATCAGACCTGGGACGCTGGATTGTGCACATTTTCATCTGCACTCGCACATATTGTGTACAGCAGTACATGCGTAGGTTCAACATCGTATTTCGTTGTATATGCCGACGTCGCTTCGCAGGCAGAATTTCGACAGGGGGCGGGAATTAGAGTGGGGGAGGATCAACGGTACTTTACGGTACAGTCAGACCTCGCTTATCCGGTCCTCTTTTATCCGGATCCCTCGCCATCCGCAAGAAAATCGTTGGTTACCGATTTACAGCATATGGCGTGCATACGTACAGTATGTGTGTTCGACTATCCGGTTCCCTCGCCTATCCGGATATTTTTGTGGAAAACGGATGTGTGCGGTTATGCGAGGTCTGACTGTATATGGAAGTATTATTGCAAGATCCGATACTGTAAGACATGTATATATGTAGGACTCAGTATAGAGTCCATGCACTATATGATGTCCAGCACCCTATATAGAGTCCATTGGTCCAAAATCCACTATACAGAGTCCAGGAGTCCCCTCAGTTTTGATCAGCTTCATCCTGCCGCGCAATCCCCTATAAGGAGTACACTTTTTCTACAAGTCCCCTATTCACAGTCCAGGAGTCCAGTTTACCCAGTCACGCCGTCCTGTGTGTTGTGCCCGAAAGAGAACAAACACATTTTCAGTTTTGCTTGCCTCGTGGCAGCGCATTCCTTTCTTCACTTCAGCCATGGCTGCCAATTCTGCTGTGCAGTTGCTGACAGTAATCTGTCTCGATGTAACCAAGGAGGATAAGGAGACGTTCAAAATCAAATCTGGAAAGCGTCTTGTGGTTCTCTGAAGACGTTTCATCAGTGCGCGGGATGAAAGCAGAAATTGCAGAACGAGAAAAGTTCAGCACAGTTCAAATCTGACGAGTCAGGTACACTGACGCTCTCTTTCGTTCGACGCCACAAGGATCCCCTGTTTGGCTGGCCATTGCTGCCAGTAAGACGTTTGAACGGTTTCATCAGAGCGAGGGATGAAAGCAGAAAGCGGAGAAAGAGAAAAGTTCAGCACAGTTGCAATCTGACGAGTCAGATACACTGACACTCTCTTTCGTTCGACGCCACAAGGATACCCCTGTTTGACTGGACAAGAGCTGCCTGTACCACCGTGTCAAAAGGCTGTCCAACTACATGGCAGGACGATGACTGAGGTAAGGAAGCTTTTACTCGTTTCGATTGGTCTGCTGTTCTGTCGTTATGCTTGAATTTTTTTCCATTTTCAAGGAGCGTATCGCGTTTGTTTGATGTTGCTTGAATGAATGCACTAAAAGTAATCAACGACTTCGTAATAGTCCTCGAGGACTGCAAGGACTTTGCATCAATCGTATTATGATCGTCTAGCTATCATCAATTATTATTTTATTTCATGAGAAATGTATTTTTATCCCTGTGATAATTATGTGAACTCCACGACACTCTTCTTGTAGTATGATGTCAAATACAATGGGATCCACAAACGCAGTGCCAGTGTACTAGTAGTAGTAGTAGGACTAGGAGGATTGCTTGTATGCCAATGACAAGAAAAAGCTTCTCAAGCTAATACTCATTATTCCCTGAAGTAACCGTTTTGATGTCACGAACATGACATTGTGTCAGTGAAACTGTCTCGTGACAACAAATCATTGCATTTCCATCTTGGGGAAGACCGTGGCTGACAGCAACGCTGTACAGATTGTTCAAATCATCTCATTTGAATTTAGTTGCAGTGAAGTGAAACACTGTGTACACTACATGTATGTTGGTGTGTCTGTGCGTCTTGAGTGTGCACAAACGATCTTATTCCTCATATTACTAATAGATTATTGTCCCCACCGTCACCTGTTCACAGGTCTTTGAGTGGGTTGACTTTCATTGAGCATCACATTCGTTGAGAACTTGGTAGTTGTGTGCTCCAATGCATCATTACGGTAATAAGCATATCCTTGTGCTATCTATTGGTTGCAGGTGTGCTGATCTTCAGAAGCTTGCGGAACTGAGTGCTGCTGAACATTTGCATGGCCATGAGCAATGGTGAAGCTTGCTATTGCACTCTCAGCATGTGCTAGTATTATGCTGACCACTGCACTATGTTACTCTCTTACACTACTACGTGTATGTAAACGTGCGTGTACCCGTCCCCGTATGCATTCGTTTCGTATAATTATTTGTTACCCATCTTGACTTTACATGTAAATGGGTGGGCGTTTGCATGG